ACGCGACACGCAGGATTTGCGCGTCACGTCTACGCGTGCCCGATCGAGGATGGCTCGCCCCAGATCCAGACTCGGGCGCGCGCTCGAATGCATTTGCCCTGGGGCCTCCGGGGCCTAACAAGCGCGCGTTCATTTCTAATTCCGGTCATTTGCAATTCCGGCCACGAATTAGAAATGAAGCGCGCCGAAAGGGCGGCGGAGGCCACGTGCAGCACACGAATTAGAAATGAACACTCTGTAGAGAGGTAAGAGGGTTCCAGATGGAGAAGCCGGAGCCGCAAAGCCGCCCCGGAGCTCGTTCCAGCTCCCGTGAAGAAATCCTTGTCCGAGCCGGAAGCGTGTCCCGAGAGACCCTTTCCTGGCTTTTGCCACTACGTCTGCCCAGCAGCTCTCCAGGAGGTCATCCGCAAGCTCTCTTCACGTCCTTCCAGGGTCCTCCGACAGGCCTTCCCGCCTCTGTCTGGCGCCCTGCTATCCGGGTTCTCGACCCCGCAAGGTCGGCGGCGGGCGAGGGCGGAAGTCGGAAGGAAACGGCCTTCTCGGAAGGCGGCGGGACTTCTCCGAAGCCGTCGCGCCTTCGGAGAAGTTTTCTGTCCCTGCGGGGAAGGCTTAGAAGACTTCTCAAGAGGCCAGGGGACGTCCGAGCCTTCTGAGAAGGCCCGCCCCTTCGCACTTCCCCCCGCGCCCGCCGCCGATGGATGCGCCGTCGTGTCGTGTGCCGGGGCGGCAAGGATGGGCGCAGGGCGCGTCCACATCCTCCGTTGGATGGGGAGATCAGGGCTCCTGGACGCCGGCACGAGGTAGCAGATGGTAGACCCTCAAGCAGGCGCGGCGGTGACAGCCTTCAGTGATTTTGGCTATCTCGCCCGTTGGTCTTATGACCGCCGAAGACGGCCCAACCAACTTTCAAGATCGCCCCAGGCCGGCCTTCAAGCCCCCTGGAGGCGGGTAGGGGCCCGAGAGGCCCCCAAATCTGCCTCAAAAAGGGCCCAAGAGGGGGAGCAATAACTGACACTTCAAGCCCGCCACCCCAAGGTGACCTCCGAGACTGCCAGGAGGCACCCAAGAGGCCCCGAAGAGGCCCAAAGAGGCACCCAAAGGGCTCACAAGAGGTTCCCAGAAGGCTTTCAGGAGACGCCCAAGAGTCCTCAAACAGGTCTCCGAGAGGCCTCCCAATAAGAGACCACATCTAAGGGGCCTCTGGTCGACAACCCAAACACGGTGGCTGGTTGGGCCGAGTACAACTGAACGTCTGGTGATAAAATACACTTTTCGCTAGCAGTGAATTTCCCAAGGGCGTGACCACAATTCCTCCATGTGTACTCGTCCATTGGAAACTCGAAAGGGATATCTCTGGCGTGCCTTGCGCACGCCCTGCTGGCTTGGGGTAGGAGCTGCTCATGGTTGTGGGGCCCAGCAGGTGGCTACCATCACATGGCAAGTGCGATCTCTCATTGATCCGTAGTGGTCCCGCCACGATGCTTCTCACATGAGGGAGGTTTACTTTCGCTGGTTGCTTCCAACTCGTCCTGGCAAAGTCAATAATGGGGGATGGAGGATGAGGGATCGGAGGAACGGGGCAGCGTATATGGGGGGCGCGAAAGATGGGAAGAAGTGGAGACACATCCAAACAGGCAGGACAGGAGGAGGGACATGGCGGAGGGACAGACGTGCACAAGAAGACATGCAGCACCGATGTCTATCCGAAGGGGCTCGAGACATCCCCGCTGGTGTTGACCCTGGTCTTGTACGAGAAGCGGTCATGGAGGCGACGGCGGATGGGGAACCGCCGAAGACTGCCCTTTGTAGAACAAGAAGACGGCATAGACATAAACTTTTAATGCTCCGCGCGGATTTCTTGGATCTGCGCTGGACCCCCCTCCCTGGCGCGCTGAGCGCGCCAAGGGCGGCGCCAGAGGCGACGCCAGGGGGGGCCCAACGAGGGTCCAAGAAATCCGCGCGGAGCGCCAAGAATTTATGTTTATGCACTTTTTGTGCGGCTCGGACAATGCGAGGCAAGCCGCAGGGCTGGGGTTAGGTCGGGCATGTCCCCCCCCTACAGGAAGATTTTGGAGGAAGACTTAAAAACATGTGTCAAGAAATATTCGAAAATGGTCAACACATAATAGAAACATCGTCCCCAGACTAATTTTTTTAAAACTATTTTTGAACACTCCTCCTGTAGAGGGGCATGCCCGACGTGAGGCTGGAGCTGGTGCCCCTGAACCATCGAAAGACCCCGCACTCCTCGCGCGCGTGCGGAGAGCACGGCCCAGGACGCCCGGCGGCGCATGAACGGGAAGGACTCCGGACGAGGGCGTTGTGCTCTTCCACAAGCAGGCAGGTGGTCCCCGCGAGGGGATACCGGAGACCTCCGAGAAGTCCTCCCAGAGGGTGTCGGGCGGCGTCCCCAGACCCCCTCGAGCAAGGACAGCATCGCGACGGGATCTCTTGTCGCTATTTTTTCGGCCCTGGGGGGCTTTCACCGGGCCCTTCGGGGCAGGAAAGGAAAAGGATGCGGGATGGAACACCTGTCCCGGGGAATGGGGCGAGATCTCTGGGGGGTCGACGTCACGAACAAAACATCAAGACGTCGGGGGTCTGGGCCCAGGGGGCCCCCTTAGCTTCCCAGAAGGACCCCTCGGCCCCCCCCCCTGCGTGTGCGCCGCCGAGAACCCAGACATCAGGTGGACAAACAATGGCATAAACATAAAAACTCCGAGGGCCGCGCGGATTTCTCGGATCGGCGCTGGACCCCCTCCCTGGCGCGCGGAGCGCGCCGGGGGCGGCGCTGGAGGCGCCGCCAAGGGGGTCCAGCGCGGATCCGAGAAATCCGCGCGGACCTCCGAGTTTTTATGTTATGTATTTGTTCGTGCCCATGCACGTCGTTCATTTCTAAGCGTGCTCATCTCTAATTGTGCTCGTTTCTAGTTGTTCCTGGCCCCCTCGTGGCCAGGAAGTGGCCGAGGATAGAACAATTAGAAACGAAAGGATCTTGGCCCGAATACTTAGAAATTAACAATGTGTAGACATGGGGCGGGGGCGGCCCGGTGTCTTCGAGACCTATCTGCCCCCTGGACTTGACCATATCTCCCGGGGGCCGGCTGCTCATTCCAGGCCACTTGCCAGTCTGCCAGCGACCCCGGCGGACCCGAAAGCGGCCTCCAGAGGCCCTAAATCAGAGGAACAAGCAACAACACAAATATCAGGTATTAGGTCGGGCATGCCCCATTACAGACGAATTTTGTGCGAAAGTTACAAAGTAGTGCAAACGTGTTCGAACATAGTTTCAAGATTTAAAATTTGTTCTGACTATTTTTGAATATTCCTCCTGTCGAGGGACATGCCCGACTTAACACAAATATGGAACTCCGTGCGGATCTCTTGGGTCCGCGCTGGGCCCCCCTCCCTGCCGCGCGGAACGCGCCAGGGGCGGCGCCAGGGGCGGCGCCAGAGGCGCCGCCAGGCGGCTTCCAGCGCCGATCCGAGGAGATCCGCGCCGACCGTCGGCAGTGTACAGAGGGCCCGTATCATAAGGCTGCGCGAGGAGGATACAAGGGCCTTGGAGGGCCATTTCGAAGCTTCTCGAGCGGGGCGCGGCCACCGACAGTGGCCAAGGATGGACCGAGGAGGCAAGGAGGAGGATGATGAGGAGGAGGAGGAGGAGGAGGAGGAGGAGGAGGAGGAGGAGGAGGAGGGGGAGGGAGAAGGAGGAGGAGGAGGGAGGAGGAGGAGGAGGAGGAGGAGGATTGAGGAGGAGGAGGAGGAGACGAGGACGGAGAGGAGGAGGAGGAGGGAGAAGGAGGAGGAGGAGGAGGAGGATGGGAGGAGGAGGATGAAGAGGAGGAGGAGGAGGAGGAGGAGGAGGAGAGGAGGAAGAGGAGGTGGAGGAGAGGGAAAAGGAGAGGAGGAGGAGAGGAGGATGAGGAGGAGAGGAGGAGGAGGAGGGATAGGAGGAGGAGGAGGAGGGGGGGGGGAGGGAGGGAGGGAGGGGGAGGGAGGGAGGGAGGGAGGACGGAGGAGGGAGGAGGGAGGGAGGCCTTGGGAAGGTTGCCCATCCTTACTGTGGGGTTTGACTGTCTGCTTCTTCTGCCGTTGCTCTTCTTTTCGAGACAGGGCGAGAGGAACACGGCTGCCCTGGGGACGCTGCGGCCTCCGCGCCTTGCTCGTGGAAGGCGGCGGCATGACGTCTCCAAGGGCGGTCCCCTGCGCACTACAACCTGCAGGGCCCCCGCGGGCCTTCCAGAGAGGAGCAGGAAAGAGCCAGCACCACCACCACCAGCGCGAGGAGCCAGAGGAGGATCCTTACGCGGACCCCCTCGAGTCGTGAACAGGTCACGGCGGAAACGTTTTCGCTATCTTCAGCCTCTGGGGGCTCTCCATGGGCATCGGGACCATCAAACAACAACACGGGATGGAAGCCGGGTCCCGGGGGATGGTTCGAGACCGCTGTGGGTCGACGTCATGAACAATTCATTCGGTCGGGGGTCTGGGCAGAACGTATGCTAGCGCCAACGTGTGCTTGTCCACCGAGGCCCTCCATACGACGCAGGCGGCGTAACGAGGGCCGACAAAAGCTGCGTGCTGCCGGCGGGGCCGAGAGCGGGGTAGCCCATACGCTCTGGCTAACACACGTCTTGAGGATCAGCGAGCCAAGGGGGGGCCCTCCTAGTGTCGGGAAACGAGGAGGAGGCGGAGGAGGAGGAGAAGGAGGAGGACGAGGACGGGGGGGAGGAGATGGAGGAGGAGGAGGAGGATCAGGAGGAGGAGGAGGACTAGACTAGACTAGACTAGACTAGACTAGACTAGACTAGACTAGACTAGACTAGACTAGACTAGTCTAGACTAGACTAGACCAGACCAGACTAGACTAGACTAGACTAGACTAGGCTAGGCTAGACTAGACTAGACTAGACTAGACTCGGCTTTGCGCTGTGGGTCAGATGATCCTCACCCCCTCGAGCACTGAGACCTTCACAGGGCGGTCGGGGTTACCTCTGACGGAGCGTGGCTCTAGGAACAAGCTACAGGGTCAAGGTAAAGCGCACCGTACGAAAGCATGCGGGCGGGGAGCGAACAAAAACCCTCGGGCCACACAGGGGCCGAAGCCTGCGGTGCTGGGTGCACCAGGCAGGCCCCTGGAGCACCCGAAGACCCCCAATTCGGACCGAACCTGCCAAGGGGAAGCAAGGAAACTTTGGTGTCTCGGGAGCGAAGGACCGAGAGCGGGAGGAGGGGCCCCAACGGCATCCTTCAACCCGCGCACCGACCCGCCAGGACCCAAACAACCAACGACGAGCGAAGGCAAAGGAGAAGGACGAGGGGCAGGTTACGGTCGGCGGACGGTGCCTGCCGCTCGAAGTACTAACCTCGAGAGCACACTACGCAAGAAAAACAGGCTTCAGCTCAGAAGGTCAAGCTCGGGGGTGAGGCGGTTCAGGTCGCAGACGTGAAGACAGCGAAAGAGAAGTAATGACATGTATTGAGCGTCCCGTAGAGTAACAAACTGCCCCATCCATGTCACGAAACACAAGCGAATCACCAGCACTGAGAACGGTTAACGCACCAAGGAACATACTATGTATATGTGGAGCGAACCGTTAGCAGGAAATTCCAATCCGTTCAATGATTATGTAAGCGCTCCTTGGCTGCAATACGCTGTCAAAGTGATGCAAGTCGCTGTTCCCACGTCGTGGTCACTGCTTGCTCCCTGCGCTGGCCCCTTTTTTTCGTCCGATCCAATTGCTTCTGGGCCATCTGCTCGAGGTGACCCACCGGTGCCGATCCGAGCTTCAGGCGGCCCCCAAGGTGCGTCGAGATCCTGATCACGGCCTGCTCCAGGAGCAACTTCGTCAAACCGGATCCTTCGATCTGGAAGCCCTCCGCGATGCAGAAGTGGGGCCTCATGAATTTCTCGTTGTAGCATCGCCGAACACGAAAGTGACGAATGACCAGAGCCTGTTCCTCCAGCGATGAGGAACTTCGCGTATAATGCTGTCACTGCTTCGTAAGGTTCCAATGGACCTTTGGCCTCCTCGTTGTCCGCCATGGCCTTGGACGCGGCGCGCCCACTATATATATATGTATACACATCTATATGTATACATATATATATATGCTTATATATATATGCATGCACATACATACACATATATATATATATAAGAGGGGGTCCGAGCTTCGCCGTGAGCTCCTGAACTGCAGCCACCTCGGCGTAGGACCTGCCCGCCGCCTTCGCGGCGTTGACGACGCAGCAGTCGACTGGGGGCACGAGCGAAATGCACTCGGACGCCGTCAGGCCCCGTAGTATCTGCGCGCGCTGGCACGCCATCTTTAGGCGCAAGGAAAGAGCGCTGGAAATGTCTTTGCCCCGCAAGGCTCCCTCGACCTTGGCCAGGTCTTCGTCGGCGTCGTCCGCCATTTGGCAGAGTTTATTCTTTTGGTTTGGCGCCTCGTCAGCCGAGGCGGCGGCCCCCTCCTTGCGCCCTTTGGCCCTGGCCAATAGTGAGTCCAGGTCCACCTCCATCGAACGGGCGAAGGCGAAAGTGAGAACGAGACAGCACTGGCGGTGGACGGTTGCAATGAGATCGAACGTGAACTTGCGGGCCCAGAAGATCTTGAGCCACGAAGGCGCAGGCGGGGCATGCGAGCGCGGAAGGAACAATGACGTCGCAGGAGAGATAAGTAGTTCTGCCCACCGAACGAACGTTCCTGATAAGATCTCATGACGCGTCGCTGTGCTGTCTCCATAGAGCCCAAGACCTGCAAACGACGAAAGCATCGGTTGGTCACTGTCATCAGGCTCGCTTCGTTCCTGACGTGGTGGGCCCTGCCCGCGCGGGGCAGCAACTGTTTCGCGGCGGCGGACCTCAACCCGCGCATGGAGCCGTCGATCGTCGCCAAGTGGCATATGTAGTCGTTCGCGTCGTCGCCCCCCCTCCTCTCCACCTCGAAACCCCTGAGCAAAACCTGGGGGGGAACGGCGCGAGAAAAGGCCTGTGCCCTGAAGACCGTGAAATCGAGATCGACCCAGCTCGCGAACTCGTCGTCGTAAAAACGCCGAAGGAGTGGGTATCCCGATGGGGCGAGTTCCTGGAATGCCTCCGAAGCCTCGCGGGCGTGACTCAGATCCTCCCAAACCTGGGCGGCCCAAGGGTTCGCCGCCGAAGTCAGCTCCCAGGAGGGCGGGATCTCTCGTTGCTGACCCAAGCATCCCAGGAAACTCGCGCGCGCCTGTCTGCGGGCCTCGGGGCGCCGACGCCAGTCCTGGCGCCGCTTGAGACGGCGTGCTCGTAGTTCGGAGGCGCGCGGCAGAATCCTCCAGCGGGCAGCCAGACGGGCTGAATACCAGCGACGACAAGCGCCATCGTTTCGACAATCCAACCCCTGAGCCCCCAGACCTCGTCGCATCGCTTGCAGCAGTATCTTGTCGGCCTCCTCGCAGAAAGACTTATCGGGGGCGCGGGCTTCCATTCCAGACAGCAGGGCGGCTTGTGCAAAGGCAATGCTAGACGTGCGTTTTACACTCAAAACGGAAGGATGCCGAAGAACATGTGATATCATCCCCAGACCAGTCCGACCTGTTTGAAGTCGTTCCTGTTTCTCGACGTTGAAGGGCCCCGTCGCCGTTATCCAGCCGCCCAAGATGCGCGTGGAACCCTGTGCCTTTTCCAAGGACCTCGAGGGCCCCGCTGTGCAAGGGGCGCCTCTGGGGTACCGGGCCAGGACCGACGAGGGCCACGACCGAGACTCTTTGTTTCGGGTTGGGCGAAATGCCAGCCTCGCCCATCGTCTCTTGGAGCAGCTCGCTGCTCGCCCGAGCGTCGCAACCTCCCTCAGAGGAAGGCTAAGTCCAGCCAGCGACGACCAGCTCCCCACGTCGGTGCTCAGCTCGTTTGGCCCCAACACCGCTGCGCAAGCCTGGGGAGGCGCATGCTCCCTGGCCGCGCAGGAAGGCTCCAAGCCCCTCTGGTAATAGGGCGGAAAGCCACGCGCGGCGTTTGGATGGCCCATCAGGTCCCCAGAGGCCGGTCGAATCGCGATCGTGGCGCTGTCCGTCCCAATCTGGGCGGCGCCCACGGTGGTTCTTTCAACGTTAGAACGGACGCCTTCCGGCATATAAAGCAATGGCGAAATATCCAGAATCGCGTCGCGAGACACACTCGAGAAAGCGTTTGTCACATCCTCGTTGCTGATAGCGTGGGGAAGACCGATCTTCTGCAATCTCCAGGAGGTACAAGCGCGGGATGCGATGGCGCCTTCCCGTCTGCATTTTTTGGGGCAAGCCCGTGGCACGCATGCGGCAGAGCCTCGCGATGCAAGCGAGCTCGAAAACATAAATGAAAGTTCCATGCTTTCCTCGGCGGGCAGAAGAGATGCATCCAGCGTGAGCCGTCCGCGCCAGACAGGCCATTCCGCTTATCAAGTCCCACGCAAGAAAAGACGTCGAATATCAAGGGCGTCATCTGCGTCCTGCGGAAACAGGCCAGCACGTCCGTGAAGCGCGCAATGAAAGCAGTGCTTGTTGAGAGTCGCAGGTCCGAGCCCAACCCGCCGCCCTGAAGGTGGTTCCACTTCTCCTCGTCCACCAGTAACAGCCAAACTTCCGAAGGAACAGACCAGGCTGGAGTCGCGCGCCTCTTGGGGGCGCGTTCGAGTTGCTGCGTAATCCCACAGAAGTCCGTCGTGGCCCCATCCAGATTGCAGTTCTGCGTTGCGTTGTGCCGAATCTCATAGTGGAGATCCCAATCGTCGTTGTGCTCTCGCTCGGAGCGCTCCAGTAATTCGGAGGAAAGATCGCGAGAAACAGCGCTGAGGCCGCCGTTGGCCGCGGGCCGACGCAAGAAATCAGCAATCGCCTGTGCCTCGGCTTATTCCGAGCGCGCAACAAAGTAGCGTCTGTGCCTGGGGCCGCGTCCCTTCCTGGCGAGTCGGCGGATCAGTTTCTGAACCGTAAAATGATCATGTGTGCTTCAGGCTTGGTTCAACTCCGCGGTGAGATCGGCATTTCTCTGTTTGGTGAACGCGCGCGAAGCGTGTCTGATTCTATACGTCACTCTGGCCAGCTGAAGTTCGACATCCTCGCGGCGGGCAGTCGGCTGGCCAATGAAACGTCCCCGAAGGTACTTCCGCCCACGTAGTAGTTGAGACCTCGAGGTCTCCAGTTCCGAGAGTTCGGCCTCCTCCTCCGTCTTGCACTCAAGTGTGCCTTTAGAAGAATTAGTAATACGTGAGCCATAGATTTCCATACCTCATCTGAGGTTGCCCTCGTACATAATTTCATCCAGTCGTCGACGGGAATTGCGAGCACCGGTGCATGAATGTTCTCGATAACCTCGGCACAGGCCCGTCCTTTGGTCAGTGACGCCATAATCCTGTCGAAATCCCAACGATGTCGAAGCTGCTTAAACTGTGGCCGAAATTCGTATTGTAACTCGATATGCAGCGGGTGACGATCTCGATCGTCCATCGTATTGATTACCTGCAGCCGTCGTCCTACCTGGTGGAGAATCTGGCACTTCACAAGAGAAGCTCTCAGCGCCTGTGGCGTATGTATGAAATCAATTCGAGATGTGGCACCTGCAGTGCCACAGAATGTGGACCCCCAAAGGTAAAACGTATTGCATAGCAGAGCCGCCAGAGCCGCCCCGCCACGCCCTCAAGCTCGGCGCTGAAGGGACCGATGGCCTCGTACTCGTCGTCTAGCGTCACGGCGGCAGGAATTGGGAACCCTCCCGCGTAAAATCCCGAGACGCCCCGAGTCCCTCGTTCAAGTCAATTCCCAGAATCGGCGTACAACGCGCGCCCGCGGAAGAGATAATATGCGAAAGCCATGCGATAAGACGTTGCACAAGCTGTCTGTGTTCGGCTCGCCGTCCCCTCTCACTCTCATGAACTGGAAAATAAATCGTGACCAAAAGTAAATATAGGGACTCCGACTTCAGGCGGACCGCGCCGCACCGACCCGCCAGCCCCGCAGGGGGCGCATACATTTTTTTCAGGAACCTCAGGGGAAGAACTTTCTTATGAAGCATGATGCTGGTGCTGCAAGCCTTGTTCGAAGCTCCTGAATACCCGAAGGATGTCTCGTAGTGCGATTTGTGACGGTACAAACTGTGATCGTCCTCTCCCTTGCGACGAGCGGCGCCCTGCAGAAGAACACCGGCCATGTTCGAGAACTCGGTCGAGAATTCCTCGGCCCTGGTGCCGCACATGCGCATGGGGTTGTAGGAGACCACTCGCAACGTCCTGTGCGACTGTGGGGGCTGACCGTTGTAGTGTGCCATGTAGCGCACGAAGAGGGCGGCGGCGGCTGGAGGAGGAGGAGGAGGAGGAGGAAGAGCAGGACGAGGAGGAGGAGGAGGAGGAGGAGGAGGAGGAGGAGGAGGAGGAGGAGGAGGAGGAGGAGGAGGAGGAGGAGGAGTGGGAGGAGGAGGAGGAGGAGGAGGAGGAGGAGGGGGAGAAATCACTCCCGACGGCTTCCCCAAGAGTAAAAGAAAAAGAAGACGAAGAAACGCTAGAAACATAAACTTTTAGCGCTCCGCGCGGATCTCTCGGATCTGTGCTGGATCCCCCCTCCCTTGCGCGCGGAGCGCGCCAGGGGCGGCGCCAGAAGGCGCCGCCAGAGAAACCCGGACGCATATCCAAGGCATCCGCGCGGATCGCTGAAAGTTTCTGCCGACTCCGTTTTTTCTTCTCTTCGGCCGTGGTGTGGGGTGTGGCCCAGGACGACGAGGAGCAGGACGAGGAGGAAAAGGATGAGGAGGAGGAGGAGGAGGAGGAGGAGGAGAAGGAGGAGGAAAAGGAAAAGGAGGAGGAGGAGGAGGAGAAGATCGCGAGCCACGTCGCTGGAGGCCGCACCGCATGGTGGTGCTGCTCCTCGCCGCCGCTCCTCCGATCTGCGGGCCCTCCTCCTACATGTACCGGAACGCCCCGCTGGAGGGCAACGGGCCCTCCAGGAAGGTGGGCCCGCCCGCCTCCGTGGCGTCCACCTGGGCTCGTCGCGGGGGCCAACGGCAACGATAAGAGAGCCCCTCCTCCCTCCCTCCCTCCCTCCCTCCTCCCTCCTCTCTCCTCCCTCCTCCCTTCTCCCTCCTCTCCTCCCTCCTCTCTTCTCCTCCTTCTCCCCCTCCCCCTCCTCCTCCTCCTCCGCAGCGGCGGGGGGTGCAGGCTTCACAGACCCCTCGAGTCGTGAGGGCAGCGCGGAGTCTTTTGGCAAGGCCTGGCCTCCTGGGCTCTTTCCGATCCCAGCGCTCCTCCTTGATTCTGGCGTCCGCGGGGGGGGGGGCGCTCTCCGGCCTGGGGGCCATCAAACACAGATCCCCGCCGAAAAGTTGCTCCCGTGGAAGGGGCCCGCGGATCGAAACAAAACACCACAACAACACATCTGGGGATGTCTGGGAAGATAAGGGGTTCTGAGACGCCGAGGGGCCTCCCAGAAGGGCTTCGACGCTTCCGAGGATGCTTCCTGGTAGCAATGAGGGGCCAGCGAGAAACCACTTGCCTTCTTAGAAAACCGAAGCCGCCGCCGTCGCTTCATGAGAGAAGCCCAGAGGTACCGATACCGCTACTCCCCGGACCTCTCCTGGGGTGCGGTCTGATCATGGTTTCAAGGCGAATCCAGCGGTGGCGACTAGGGCCTTCTGGGAGGCCCCCCAAAAGGAACAAAAAGGCAAAGGGTAGCGGTATGGGTACCTCTTCCTCCTCTGATTCAATCTGGGGAGATGTTATGGCCCACGGCGTGATATCCCCCCCCTTGTTATCACCCCCCTCTTTACCGCCTCCGAGCCCTGGGTCCGTTCTCTCTCGATGGCCCCGGGGCCAAATCATGCCATCAGAAATCTGTCTGTGGCGGGGGAATGTGAGACCCGGGGGAACGTGAGACTCGGGCTCGCGGGTCTCGGGTTTGGTGGGCTTGTCTTCCACACCACCACCACCATAAGTTGGAGGGTGAGTGGGTCCGCCTCCTTCTCCTCCTCCTCCTCGTCGTCCTCCTTCCCCCCTCCAACTTCTGGGTGGTGGCGGTGGTGGAAAACAAGCTCATCAGGGTTGGCCTGACGGGACGACGAGGAGACCCAGTCTGAATTCGACGCGACCTCCCGCTGCGGACATCGCACGAAATCTGGACGTCAACATCCGGGACGGGCCCGTCAAAAGGCGTAGGTCGATCCGAGATCTGGCGAACTCGAGCGAACTGCTTTTCCCCGACAGGAAGCCGGAAGCACGCGCGGCTGGGCTCACACGGCGGAGCAGGCGGGGGTGCAGGTGCAGAGAGCTCGGCGCACCCCCCTTTGGCCAGAGACGGGGGCCAAGAGCGCTGGGCAGACGCGCGGCTACTGCTGATGCATGTGGATGTGGACGTGGACGTGGATCGCGCCCAGGCCAAGGCCAGCCCATGCACGTGGATCCAGCTTCCTGGCCGTCAGGACTTCTCGGGCACGCGCTGACACGGCTCAGGGCTCCGTGGGCCCTGACGCGCGGGCGCCAGGCATCCCCGCATCGAGCACAGCGCGCCCCCCGAAGCAGCAGGCCCCGCCCGACTTGTGGGCGACGGGGCGCGCCGGCTCTGCGGGGGTGGGCGGGCCCCGTCGCTGAAATCTGCGCGCCTGGATGCGCGCCTGCGCTTCCTGGAACTTCCCCGTGCCGGACGGGGCTGGGATGCGGGCAAGATTCATGTCCACATCCGGTGCCTCTTGGACTTTTTTGGAAGCGGCGCCACAAGGCCGAGGCGCACAAGGCCGAGGCGCCACAAGGCCGAGGGCAAATTTATCCATATCCAGTGCGCCTCGGGTTTCTCGGGAAGGGAGCCCGAAACTCCATACTGCAGTGGATATGGACAGAAGTACTGCCCGCATAGGACGCGGACGCATCCGTTCCACGACGTTCCGGAACGTTCTCAGAGCGTTCCGGAGCGCTCCGGGAAGGCCGCGGCGCCCGAGACGGTCTCCAGGGCCGCTGGCTCTCGGAAGCTCTCGCTCGAGGCCCACCCGAGCTGATCCTCGTCCTGGCTTCGGCTCGCCGTGCCCCGTGCTTCACAGGCCCATCCTCTCCCCCCCCCCCTCGCCGTCGCTGGGGCGTGTCCCTTGCCCGCAGCCCGCTCGCTCTTGTGCGCGCGTGGCTCCCGCGCGGTGCTGCAAGGTGCTTCCGAGTGCTCCAGGCGTTGGGGGGCTGGCCCCGCCGAGCAGCACAGGAAGAGGCGCACGCCCGAGCGGTGCCGAGCACCCGGGCAGGTGAGTGAAGGGGCCCCGGGACACAGACACAGACACAGGCACAGGCACAGGCACAGGCACAGGCACAGGCACAGGCACAGGCACAGGCACAGGCACAGACACAGGCACAGGCACAGACACAGACACAGACACAGACACAGACATAGGCACAGACACAGACACACATATAGATACACACAAATTGCAGGATTCCCGAAATTGTCATGTATTTTCTGGGCTTTTTCCTTCCCCCCCCACTTCCCATGGTTTCCCGGATTTTCTGGAGAATCGACGATTCATTGTGTCTGTTTTTTTCACCCTCCTAGGTGAGGCCCGCCCGCAGGCCTCCGCCGCCGCAACTTTCGGCCTCTGGGGGCCCTTGCCGGGCCTCGGGGCCGTGACAAAAACGACTCAGGATGAGAAGCCGGTCCCGGGGAAGGGGTCGCTGAGCAGGGACCGACCGTCCTGGCACATTCCTTTTGGCCTACCACGACATGTTCTTAGAATCCAGCAATGTTCTCATGCCAAAAACACGGTTCTTAGAACATAAGCCCGATGTGTTGAAACAGGACAGACCCAGCCAGAAATACTCTAAGAACATCTCGGGCAAACCACGGAAGCTCCTTAGAACATTCCTCGGTGGGCCTATGGGCGAGCCAGGACGCTCCGCCACCATGCTCGAGGTCGAGACCCCTGGGGCTCGACGCCATGCACAAATCATGGCGCCGGGGGTCTGGGTCTCTCTCAGGCGCCGGCGGGCCGTCCCGCCTCCCTCGGCTTGGGCGCCCGAGTTATCCGGGGTAACTCGGGCCAAGGGGAACTCGGGCTCGGATTCCCGAAAAACGAACCCGAGTTAGCCCTGACCAGAATTTCCCCTTGATGATTTGGGGCTCTGGACGCCCGAGTTATCCGGGGTAACTCGGGCCCGGGGTAACTCGGGCTCGGAATCCCGAACAAAAACGAACCCGAGCTAGCCCTGACCCGAGTTACCCCCTGATGATTCGGGGCTCTGACCCTCGGCCGTGTCGACGCTTCCATCCTCGGCCCCGGCCCCCGGCGGCCTCCCCTGTGGAGCCGCCCCGCGCTCCCGAGGTGGCAACAGTTCTCGACCGCGGAAGCCCGGAGACCCCCCCCCCAAAACGCTTTGTCCTCTCTTGGGAGGTCGGCGCTTCTCTCTTGCGCCGCCCTCCGCCGGTCGTCCGCCCCCCTTCCGCCGGCTGCCGCCTGCGGCGGCGGCCTCGCTTCATCTCCGCCGCCCTTCCACCGAGGAAGGGATTCGGGGATGGACAGACCCCCCTTTAGTGAAACATGGTTTAGTGAAAACGACCTGAGGCCCAAACCTGGCGGGCGCAAGCCTGGAAAATAACGGCCACGGCGCCCTCTCGAGAACCGAAAACGGACAATTCACTAATCGACGTGTCACTGTTGGGGGTTCTGTTCACCTCCGAGGGATGCCAACGCCTTCCGTCCTCGAAGGCAAGGCCTTTTTGGGGGGAGCGCCTCGCACCATCTGCAAAAAAGCCCCGTGGGGCCCGAGGGCTGCCCCAGGGAGATGCCGCCATCGCGGAGCGCCTGGCAGGCTCGGAGGGAGCTCGGCCCGTCCAAGACGCACTTGTTTCCAGGACCCACCCCAGGGTTAGGTCGGGCATGTCCCCCTACATTCGGATTTTCCACGACACATAAAACATGTCAAACAAATATCCCCAACCATTACAAAACATGCTAAGAAATGGTCCCCAGACTATTTTTCCACTATTTTTGAATATTCCTCCTGTAGAGGGGCATGCCCGACTTCACCCCAGGGGGTCCACCAGGGCAGTTCTTCGAGGCGGAGCCAGTCGTGGCGACGCAAAACAGCTTCTCTAGCAGGGAGGCCCGGGGGAGGAAGCCGAGGCGCGCCCCCAGGCAGGTGGTGTGGTCGCCGTGGCCTCGGGCAGCCCTCCTCTCCTGCCCCCAGAGAGGTCTCTGCTGCCGTGTGGGTTCTTGCTTCCGTGTGCGGGGCCCCTGGAAGTCCCGACCCGCCTCCCTCCTCCTCCTCCATCTCCTCCTCCTCCTCCTCCTCCTCCTCCTCCGCCCTCTTCTGCTCCTCCTCCTTCTCCTCCTCCTCCTCCTCCTCCTCTCCTCCTCCTCCTCCTCCTCCTCCTCCTCCTCCTCCTCCTCCCCCTCCGTCTCCTCACCGCCCTCTTCTCCTCCTCCTCCTCCTCCTCCTCCGCCTCCTCCCTCCGCCTCCTCCTCCGCCTCCGCCTCCTCCTCCTCCTCCTCCTCCTCCTCCTCCTCCTCCTCCTCCTCCCATTCCCCAGGGTCGGTTTTTCTTCGCGGCGCGCAGAGGGGCGTAGGCGGGGGGGGGGGGGGAAGGGGGCAGGAATCTGAGGAGGCCGCCGCTTCTCAGGAGGCGCGGGCCTTGCATCTATACAGAGAGTGAGTATCGTTTAACCGATCCCCATCCCCAGCGGCGTGGCCTGGGCCCCACTGGTCGATTTACCCTCCTAGATGGGGCTACGGGTCGTTCCCTTCGGGTTTCGAGGGGTGTATCCCCAACTGGACTCCCGCCATGCCCGCCTACGTGTGGCTGATTTTCACCCCGAGCCCTTCTGTGACAGTCCCATGGCCAGGCGAGAGACATCTGAGTTTGATTGCCCGGCACGCTCTTCAAAACGGCCAACCCATATCCGAAGGATGCGCGGTAAGGATGCGAGGGCCCTGGAGGCCCCTGCTAACGCTCTCTCGAACGAGGCTGGCCCGCGCAAGCTGCCAAGGAGGGGCCGGAGGGGCAGGGATGCAAGGGCACCCACCCCTGGGAGAGGCTGCCCATCCTTGCTGAGAAGGGCTGACTGTGCGCTGGAGGCCTCGACTTTGCTTCCCCGGGGGCAGAGTGTTTTGCATCGCCACAGAAAAATCGTCGCCTTTCCATGCTCCTGCAGGAGGGCGAAACACCTTCCAATCGTGATTCTCTCTCTCGACTCGAGGGGGGGGTCTTAATTGAGCAGGGACCGACCGTCCTGGAACTCCTATAGTCCTCCCACGAAGTATTCTGAGAACCTAACTCTGTTCTAAGCGCGAAAACAACGTTCTTAGACCATAAAGCCCGATGTGCTGAAACAACACAGTCCCAGTCAGAAATGCTCGAACAACCTCTCGCGCAGACCACAAAAAAGGTCCTCAGAACACTCCTTGGTGGCCCTGAATAGGCGAGCCAAGAAGCACTGCCAAAGCTTGACTTGAGGTCCTCCGACTTCGGCATAAGCCGGCCACCGTGACCCAGCCGTCCTCCTGTCGGGCTGGGCGAAAGGGGGGGATTGGGAAAAGGGGGGGGTACGAAATTTGCTGCCTGCAGCTGGTTTCGGCTTCACCGAGGGATACATAGCCGCCTCCGGCGCCGGGAGGCGCCGGGAAAATCAGCTACGTGAGCTGATTCTCACCCCCCCCTTTGCTATCCCCCCCTTTCGCCCGACCCGATCCTGGGCGGCGCCGGCAGCAGGCCGCGGAGCCTCCCCGCGGTGGGCGCGTGCCAGCAGGCGCACGGGCATCCGCACCAGGCCTCCCGCCCTGGTGGGCGGCCCGGCCTGCTCCACCAGCTGCCCTCTGCAGAGCGCAGCGACCTCGGGGCGGAGGTCCAGGGGAGTACAGGCTCAAGAGAGGAAGAGAAGGAGGAGGAGGAGGAGGAGGAGGAGGAGAAGGAGGAGGAGGAGGACCAGGGGAGGAAGAGGAGGAGGAGGAGGCGGAGGAGGAGGAGGAGGAGGAGGAGGAGGAGGAGGAGGAGGAGGGAGGAGGAGGAGTGCCCCCCCTCCTCCTCCTCCTCCTCCTCCTCCTCCTCCTCCTCCTCCTCCCTCCTCCTCCTCCTCCTTCTCCTTCTCCTCCTCCTCCTGCGACCTCTGGGTAAGACTGGTGTTCGTCGCGATGTCGCGGGCGTTGGTTTCTGGCGCCGCGTGGATCGTTCCACCTTGAACGATCGCGGCTCCCCAATGATCGCTCGCGCTGGGGTCGCTGCCGCGTCAACGCGGCGCAAGCCTGCCGTAAGGCTTCGGGCTGCGTGCAGGGAGCCCCTCCAGGCAGCCCCAGCGGGCCTCCACAGGCCCCTCCTCCGAGTAGCCCGGAGTGGTTTCAACACCCCAAACGCTAGAGCGCGGAGGCGGCGCGCGGGGTTTGAGACCGCCCCAGGCTGCTCGGGGGGCCCATTGGGCTGGGACTGCTCGAGGGGCCCCTCGAGGCCAGGCGGGGCTACCCGGGGGGCTGTCTGCGCGCAGCCCGAGGCCTCAGCGGGCGGAGCTCTCCCGCCCCTCCCCAAAAAGCTGCGGCGGCGTGGCCTTTCGACCTGGCGGGCGTGCTTTTTTCTTCGATGCTGGCCCCTGGAGCCCGGCCTCGGACCCCAGGGGCTCAGCAAGCATGACTCCGGGGAGGAAGGCTTGCCCCGCGGGGGGAGGGGTCGGGGGACTTCTCTGGGGCTGCCCTTCGCATCGCCAGAGCTCGGCGGCCTAGGCGCGAGCAGCACCCAGAACCCTCTCCAGCGTAATGGAAGAACCCCGCCGGGACGTTTTTCCGCAGTTTTCGGCGTCTGGGGGCCCTCTCTGGGCCCCAGGTGATTAGCAACAGAGGGACCCCTAACCTTTTGGATAGGACCTGAGTGAGGAGGGCTAGCAACTAGGGATATAGGGGGGTCTTTCCTGCAGTTGTATCGACCCACCCCCTGGACTCATCATCCCTAATGCAAAGACGGGACCTCGGTGAGGCTGTGTCTTCATCGTGCTATTAGGATTAAGGGTTCTCTTATACTCGATGACCAGAGGGGTCTCGACCTCGGGGGGTCTTCGTGGTGCGATGAACGCGACGATGGATTTCTGGGGGGGCGAAAAGCCCACGCCCTTTCGATCCGGGGCAGGCTGTGTCCAATCGGAGGCCCACCAGGTGGAGCCCTCTGGTTCCCTCTGGACTTGCGTGCTCCCGCGGGGCCCAGCGTCGCGCAACAGGTCTTGGTGTCGTAGCAGCAAGAACCGTTGCGGCCGTGTTCTCTGACGTTCCAGAAGCTCCCAGCGGTATTCCCTAAACAGCGTGCCCGTGCAGACTCTCTGTATAATCAAGTTCCTTACGGGCTGATCTGTGGATTATCCGAAATCGTTGGGGCGACGTGACCTCTTTTAGTCTCCCGTTAGGTCGGGCATGTCCCCCTACAGGCGGAGCTTGGGCGGAAAATGAAACAATGTCAACAAACTATTCAAACATAATCGAAAACAGTAAAGAAACGCCCCCATATTGTTCTTGGACTATTTCTGACTTTTCCTCCTGTAGAGTTGTGGATGCCATGGCAATGGACACTCTAACAATCCTATCATTGAATTAAAATGTGTTTAAAATCTGGAAACGTGTTTTAAACATGTGTCAAACATGTTTTTACATACTTAACAGATGGTTGACACATGTTTCAAACATATTGAAATTACTTGGCAGCATGCTTCCTCTCCATTAATCGACTTCCACAACAGTAGAGGGCCATGCCCGACTTAAGTCTCCCGTTGTCTCACATTGTCTCTCGTAGCCTCCTGTTGCCTCCGGTTGCCTCCCGTTGCCTCCCGTTGTCGCCCGCTGTACCCCGTGGCCTCCCGTGGCCTCCCGCTGCCTCCCGCTGTCTACCATTGTCTCCCAGTGTCTCCCGTTATATCTCCCGGTGTTGATCCCTGGAGGGAGGGGGGGAGGAGGGGGAGGAGGGGAGGAGGGGGAGGAGGGAAGGGGGGGGAGGGGGGGGGAGGAGGGGGAGGAGGAGGAGGGGGGAGGGGGGGGGAGGGGGAGGAGGAGGAGGAGGAGGGGAGGGAGGAGGAGGAGGAGGAGGAGGAGGAGGAGGGGGAGGAGGAGAGGAGGGGGAGGAGGAGGAGGGGGAGGAGGAGGAGGAGGAGCCCGTGTCCGCATCATCCCTGTCACTGTCCATATCCCTATCCCCCTTGACTCCCTTTGTCTCCCACTGTCTGCCCCTACGTATCCCTGCCCATACCCCTCTCCCCACACCAGTCCCCATCCCCCCCCCAGCCTCCTTATATCCCTATCCCTGCCTTATATCCCCCTGCCTTATATCCCTATCCCCTCATCCCCGCGACGATCCGTTTCCCCATCCCCATGTCCATCCTCCCCAGCTCTCGATCACTGCTCCGTGCTCTCCTACGCCCCCCTCCCCCACCCGACCGGCGACATACCTGTCTATTACTGCTCCGTACTAATCCACACCCCTTCCCCCACCCGACTGGCGACAAACCTGGGACAAGGCGCCCGCCGCTCCCCGCCATCCCTGCCGCAGAAACAATACAGAGGGCACCTTGCGTCGAAATCTCGGGTCCTGTCTGGTGGGGGTCCCGCGGGCACGCTGTGGGGACAGCGGGGGTGCCAGAATAATGGCCTGCTGTGTGAAGGGCCACCACCCCTGAGGGAGCCCACGAAGGACGTACGCGCCCACCCACGTATACGAACACGGTCCCCCAATCCGCGACGTGGGCCGCGTGATGCGAAAGTTAGCGCCATGCGTGCAGTGCGGGCGCGGCCTCAAGAAACCCTCGCAAGAAACCCAACCCTGAGAAGCCGTGCGCGAGGTGCATCCGAGGGGAAACCTGGAGCACCCTGAACGCAACAGCTCCTTCAACGGCTGCGGGAAGTCACCGCGCAGCGCCAAATCTGGACCATGCGCGGGCACCCCGCGATCACTTTGCATGGTTCTTTGTCACGCACGGCAGCAGTGCTGGCATATTGCCTGCTGTGTGCAGTCCCACCAGTCATTTTGGACGCTCGAAATGGGTATGGAAACACATTGTACAATGCCCAACAACAAATGTTGTCCCACACCAACAGCGGCCGCTGTTGGGCAGGCGGCCTTCTGTCTCAAGTGGGCACAGGCGGCGGCGGCGGCGCGGACAGCGAGTCCACCTCAAAATGAAGAAGAACTGCTGTTGGGCATTGCACCCATTCTTTCCGTACCCATTTCGGGCGTGCCGAGACATCATGGTTCACGACGGCTGGCAGCCACTTGGGCCTTCGGTGGAGCTCCCCGTGGGTCCACGAAACGTGTGAGGGTGTGTCGATATGGGTGCGGTGGTGCCATGCGAACGCAGCCGATTGGGCCTTCGGTGGAGCTCCCCATGGGGCCACGAACTGTGTGAAGGGCGTGCCGAAATGGGCATGCGGATGTCAGGGGCGCGAAGGGGGAGGAGGACTGAGGAAGGAGGAGAGGAGACGCGGGGCGCTGTTTCTTCAAAGCGAAGACCCAACACAGGATGGCTGGGAGAAAAATACCTTACGCGCACGATGTTGCGAACTCTTCTGGCAGCCGCACGTTTCGTCACAAAAGACCGCGCGGGCCTCGCGCGCGCATGTCGACATCACTCGAGAGCCGTTGCGCGCTTGCTGGGGGGGAGGGGTGGGCACGACCCCTGTCAAAAGATACCAGGTGCGCCACTCGCACGCGTCGGCCGCACGCGCATGCCGAACCCCCCCAAAACCTTCACCACCCACACGTGGAAACTATTGCCGTCATCGGCATGACCCGCATCGGCGCCGTCATTGGCCTTGCCGTCGTCATCATCATCATCATCATCATCATCATCATCATCATCATCATCATCATCATCATCATCATCATCATCATCATCATCATCATCATCGCCACGATCATCGCTACTATCATCATCGTGTCCGCCAGTATCGGCGTCACCATGATACCGCTGCCGACCGAGTCACCGACTCGTAATGAAATGCCCGCGCGCAATCGCGGCTTGCAAGACGAGCTTGGAAACATAATTAGCGGTTAACGCTAACGCGGCCGTGTCGGTTGCGCTAAACTAGCTGGCCTTTCTGCGCGCCAACTCGCGCGTACTAACGCGGCCGTCACGATGCGCCGGCTAGCGCCGAGCAGTCACCGGCTAGCGCCGAGCAGCCACCGCAATCGCAAGCCAGGTGGCGGGTGGGTGGGTGGGGTGCTTGCGCGAGCAGTGGAGTTGACAATTCGAGATTCTTCAAAATACTTGACACGACGTAGTGTGCACCAAGTGGGTTGAACCTTCTGCATTTCGCCACTTAAGTTGCACCACCTAGGACACAGGTTGCACCGCATCGGTTGCACCACATAGATCGATCACTCTATATATATATATATATGTGTGTGTATAGCAATTTCGCCACGGATATGTCACCTCATGGTCTGCACATCCAGAGTGTCATAGCTCATTGTCCGCGGCCCACGATGGTAAACACATCAAAGCATAGCCTTGCCAGCTGGAGCCCTACACAATGCGTTCTTACACCGTGGAGGTGCAAGCTATGCGGTGTAAACTACGTGGTGGAAAGCATACGTCGTGTAAGCGATACGGTGTGAGCTATGGAGGTGCAAACAAATGCTGTGTTAAACATGTAGTGTAAGATCGACCGCGTGAGCTGTGCAGTGTGATCTGCAGGTGGAACTGATGGGGTGCAAACTCTGTGCTGTACGCTCTGTTGTGCAAGCTGCGTTGTAGCAGCACCATGTGGTGCAAACCCTGTGGTGTAAACTGCGTGGTGAAAGCCACGTCGAGCAATCTCAGAGCACGGGGCGCCCAGGGAGGCGGCACGGGCGGCAACGAGGCGCTACTTCGGGAAAAAGCAACCAATCGCACGGGGCCCCCCCGAGGCGGCACGGGCGGCAACGCGGCGCAACCTCGGGAAACCCACCCAGCGCACAGGGGCGCCCTCGAGGCGCCCAGGAGGCTGCATGGGCGGCAACGCGGCGCAACCTCGGGAAAACCACCCAGCGAACGGGCCGCCCACGAGGCGGCACCCGGCGGCGACGTGGTGAAACCCTAGCAAAGCCATCCAGCTTCCTTAAGCAACGCACGTAAGCACCTCAACGTGCAAACACTGTTTGGTGCCTGTATGTGTATATACATATATATATATATATATATATATATATATATTATGTGTGTATATATATAGGTGTATATATGTATACATACAAACATATATATATATATGTGTATATATACATACATCTATATATAGATATATGAATGTACAGATTGGAAGGGAGAGAGAGAGAGAGAGAGAGACACCCATTTGAATGACAAGCTGGTGCGTGTCTTCTGCCTGGAAAAACAACGATGTTTCCCTCGCCGCTGGGGGTGGTGCTGGTGGCGGCCCGGGCCTCGGCGCTGGCGAGGTCCGCCCCCTTGCGCACCAGCACGTCGCCGTAGATGTGGCCGCTCGCGTACACCACGCGCCACTGGGCGCCGGGGGTGTGCACCGCGGCCTCTGCGCCGCCCCCGGCGGGCCACCGCCCCGCGTCGCGGGCCGGCTCCTCGCTGATGCCCTCGAAGGGGTTCACCTCGGATAAAACGACGCGGAAATCGGGACAAAATCGGATCGGGATAACTCGAAATCTCTGAGAATCGGCGGGTTTGGAGGATGCATTGGGCGCCGCGGCCGCTCCAGAGCGTTCCGGAACGCTCTGGAGCGATTTATCCCGATCCTAGCCCTGTTTTATCGGACGGGGCCCTCCGCCCGGGGGAGCTCCGCGCTCTGGGGGAGGAGGGCGCCTTGACCATTTCAGGCGACGTCGGGGGTTCTTTTCGGGACGGCGTGCCTGGAAGTCCCGACCCTTTTTCCCCGGGACCGGTTTCTCGCCCTGAGTCGTTTCTTGACGGTCCCGAGGCTCGGCGAGGGCCCCCCCGAGGCCGCAAATGGCCAAACACCTCTCGTTGGGGCGCCTCGCCGGCGCCCCCGCGGGCGAAGCCCGCGCGCGGCGAGGCCTCGGTGGGCGGCGCCCGCCCGCGGCGGGCGCCCCTTCGGAGGGCCGCGCGGGCGTGACGGCGAGGGCCACGCCGCTGGCGCGGAGAGGAGCGCGCGCGCAGCGCCCGCGGAGCGCCCGCGGCCTGCGGCCTGTCGGAGCGCCCGCGCGCCTGCGCGCGGAGCGCCCGCGGCCTGCAGCGGCGTCCTTCGCCGCCCCTCCCTGCCGCTCCAAGGCCGGCTCGCGCGAGGAAGGAACGCGCCCCGTCGCGGCCGCTGAGAGCAGAAGGGGCCCCCGGCAAGAGGGGGAACCCCGCGGGTGCGCGCACGGCCTCGCGGGGGGCCGCTGCGGCGCCACGGCCCAGCGCGCAGGCCGGCACTGGGGGCTGGGGGGTCCCCTGTGCCCTGAGATCCCGGCGTCGCAATTTTTTCGCAACGGGCGTTTTAGCTCAATTTCGGGCACCGGGTCCCTCACAGATCGATCCGGAGCGAAACATGCCGCAGAAAGATGCGGTCCAGGGCTCCGAGCGGGATCTCCTGCGACGTTGCAGTTTTTTTGCAGTGTCGAATCTCAGGGTGGGCCTGCACCCACGGTCGCGCAGGCGAAGGGTCACTCTGAGACGCGTCGCCGAGCGAAGAGCGCGCGCGCCTCGGAGCCGGTGTGGGCAGCACTGCGAGGTGCCAACCCCGCGCGGCGCGCCGCCGCGCGCGGCGGGCGCGCCCAGCTCTGCCCTGGAGCGGCTGCGGAGGCCCAGGGCATCATCTCTTACACCGCAGACGCTGCACCACCAACTGCCCTCCACGCGCTGCTCTCGAAGATGCCGTGGCCAACTTTGGCCGCCACGCCACCGCCCACCCAGACCCCCGACGTCATGATTTGTTCGTGACGTCGACCCCCAGAGGTCTCGACCCGTTCCCTGGGACCGGTTCTTCATCCCGAGTCGTTTTTTCACGGCCCCGAGGCCCGGTGTATGGCCCCCAGAGGCCGAACACAGCGAAAAGCCTCGCGCCGTGGTTCTGTCATGGCTCGAGGCGGTCTGGGCACGAGCATCGCAACGCAGGCCCTCCGGGCAGGCTCGCGCAAGGCGCAGCTCGCCCCGCAGCAGGGAGGCCCCGGGGGCAGCGAGCTCCGAGGCGCCCGCTGGGGGGGCCACCGGCGAGCGCAGGGAGCCACGAGCAGATCAGGGCCAGCGGCCGCAGCGCGCGGAGGGCCGGGGCCTCCACGGCAAGGGGGCTGCGAGCGGCCACGAGGGAGCCCCAGACCACCTTCGAGCCATGAGCAAGCAACCGCGACGGGAGGTCCCAGACCCCCTCGAGTCGTGAAGAAACCACGGCGGGGGGTTCTTCGCCATGTTCGGCCTCCATGGGGGCCCTTCCACCGGGCCTCGGGGCTGTGAGAAAACGACTCGGGATGAAGAACCGCTCCCGGGGAATGGGTCGAGACCGCTGGGGTCGTGGCGTCGGGGGTCTGGGGCCACGGACCGTGGGCAGCCGAGCACACCAACACATGTCCAGGTTCACTCCCCCCAGGTGGTCACAGAGAGTCGGAGGGAGCCGCTTCTCGTGGACCCGGGGCGATCTGTGCTGTGACAGGCAGGAGCTCGCTCCCCCAGATCCATCCGGCGGCATCCTCCTCCTGCTCCTCCTCCTCCTCCGTCCTCCCTGCCCCCTCCCGCCTCTGCCTCTTCCTCCCCCGTCTGCGCCGTGCGTGGCATTCGGCCTGCAGGGAGCCCCGACAAGTCCACCGAGCTCCTGGCTGCACGGGTCGGCGAAGGACACATCAAAAGGTCCTGCGCACGAGGTGAGTCACGGAGCCACGGGCTCGTGACCGTCACGTGATGTCCTTCAGGGAGCCCGCCCAGGTGAGCCAGCCACCGCGCCCGCCCAGGACGACCCCGAGACCGCCCCCAGGAGGCCCACGGCATGTTCCAAGCGGCACCCTTAGGCCCGGCATGTCCTCCTACTGGCGGATTTTGGAAGAACAATCAAAATAGTCAAACATATTCAGAACACATAAGAGGAATCGTCCCCTATACTGTTTTGTTTGTGACTATTTTTGGATATTCCTCCTGTAGAGGGACACGCCCGGCTGAAAAGGCATCCCCACGAGGCCCTCCGGAGAGACCCTCCATAAGAGGCCCAGGCACGGTGGCAATACAAGCGCCGCCCCCCAGGGCCAGGGCCCCGGTGTGGGGGGGGGGGGCACCGCCTCCTTACCAGACGCGCAGACACCCGACGGAGGTCCCGACCATTTCCCAATGGGTGGTCTTTCGCCACTCCTTCTGCACGGCCCGGCCCCTGGGGCCTGGTCACGGCGCCCAGAGTCCGCCATCGAGGCGCAACACCTGGAATGCTAAGCTGAACACGTGGGACTCCCGAGTGCGAGCGCTGTCTGGGGAAGAATCCTCGACGCTGTCCAAGGGAGGGGCCAGCATGTCAGCGCCCGATGGCTCCCCGGCGCTCTTCAACCGCAGCAGCAGGGCCCTGATGGGGGGGGCCCTGGGCGAGGCACAGCTGCGCAGCTGCTGGCCCAGGCCCGACCCCCAGGACAAGACGACCTCGCGAGAGATTGACCACAGAGCAATAATGAGAAGCGACAGATGCTCAAACGTTCAGAGGCTCGCGCGGACTTCTTGGATCTGCGCTCCCCCTGGCGCGCGAAGCGCGCCATGGGCGGCGCCGACGCGCCGCCAGGGGGTGTCCAGCGCAGATCCAGGAAACCCGCGCGGACCCTTGAGAGTTTGCGCTCATGCCGCATTACTTCTTCGACGAACTGCACGCCGAGGAGTTCAAGCCCGGCGGCACCTCCACCGGCTCCGCCGGCACCGCAGCCTCCGCCGGCACCTCCGCGGCTCGCGGCGGCGCCTCCAGCGGCTTTGCCGAGGCCGCGCCCCCCGCCGCCGCCTCCGGGCTCGGACTCGGTGCGGCGGCGGCCGCTGCCGCCCGGCCCGCCGCCGCCGGCCCGCCCTTCAGCCATGCCGCAGCCGCCGCGGCCAGGCCTCCCGCGCCCACTGCCGGCGCGGCGCCCCGGCCCCGCGCCGCTGCGGCCGCCGCGGGGCGCGCGCCGCGGATGGACCGCGCGTCGCCCAGCTGCCCGCTCCAGTCGACCTGGCGAGGCGCCTGCGGGTCCGCGCTGGCGCCCTCCGCAGGCCCTGCGGGCGCCCACGGCTCGGCCGGGTCGGCCGCGCGCCCCTCGGGGCCCTGGGAGGCCGCACCCGCGCCCTGCGCTGCCGGCGCGGAGGGCGCCGCCGCCGCGGAGTGTGCGCCGCGGAGGGACCGGGCGTCGCCCAGCTGCCCCCCCCAGTCGACCTGGCGCCCCTCGGGCGCCTGGGAGGCCGCGCTGGCGCGCTCCGCGGGCTCGCGGGGGGGCCAGGGCTCTGCGCGGGCAGTCGGGTCGATCTGGCGCCCTCCGAGGGCCTGAGGCTCCGCACCGGCGCTCTGTGCTGCAGGCGCCACGGGCGCCGCCGCAGCTGCCGCGGCACTGTCGTCAGCTGCGCGGGCCGCGGCCTCCGCGCCAGCTGCTGCGCCGCTGGCCTCGGGTGTCGAAGGCACCGCTGCGATCGGGGCGGCTGCGCTGTCGGCGTCCTTGGCAGGGCGGCCCGCCGAGCCGCTGCCGTGCTCCTCTGCGGCGGGCGCGCCGGTGGACCTGAGGAACTTGAGGTGCTCCACCTCGCTGGGCTTCTCGAGCAGGAGGCCCTCGCCGAGGAGCGCGCACCGGGAGCGGAGCAGGTGGAGCAGGCCGTACGCCTGTCCCTCCAGGTCGAGCGCGGCGGCGTCGAACGGCGCCACCACGCTGGAATCGGGCAGCAGCCGGATGTCGACTGCGTTCGGCGGGCTCGCCGTCATCGCGGAGCCCGGGGCGCAGGCTTGGGCCGAGACGTTGGTGGTGGCAGTGGCTGGGGTAGGGGAGGAATGGGGGGCAGCGGGGGCTGGGGGGGCATACACCGGAGAGATCGGCGGGAGAGATCATGGACGGCTGGGCGGAGGCATCGGCGTCGCCGAAACTGCGTCATCGCGCACTCCCGCCGCGCTGGGCGCGGCCACGACGGCGACGACGGCGACGACGACGACGCCCAGAGACCACGCCGACGGCCACGGCGACGGCCACGCCGACGGCCACGCCGACGACGACGACGACGACGACGACGACGGCGACGGCGACGACGGCGACGGCGACGACGACGACGACGACGACGACGACGGCGACGACGGCGACGGCGACGACGACGACGACGACGACGACGGCCACGGCGACGGCGACGACGACGACGACCCGGGGCTGGGCGCGGCCGCGGCGGAGCCCCTGCCTCCTGCTCGTCCTGCGCGGGCCCGCCCAGCTCCTCTGGGGCCCGCCCCGGCCGCGCGCGGGCGCGGGCGGTCGGCGAGCGGCGCCGCGCCCCGCACAGGCGGCGGCGGCGGTCCATCGGCGCCGTCGTCCGCAGAGCGGGAGGGAAAACTTGGAGGAGGTACAGTCGGGGCGTTGACCTCCTCCTCCTCCTCCTCCTCCTCCTCCTCCTCCTCCTCCTCCTCCTCCTCCTCCTCCTCCTCCTCCTCCTCCCCCCTCCTGTTTCTCCTCCTCCTTCTCATTTTCCTCCCGCGCGGCGGCCGCAGGCGGCGGCCGCAGGCGGCGCCGGCGGCAGGGCGGCGCAGCCGGCAGCCGGCGCCGCTGCCGGCGTGGTCGGCGGCCCGGCTACAGTCGGGGCGTTGACCTAAGGAACCCTAAATAAGGAACGAGGCCCCCTTTTTTCCACAAGTTGAACTTCGCTCTCCCATCGAAGACATAAGGGGAACCTGAGGCAAGCTGTGAAACACTTGAGGAACGCGGAGCCCCTCCCCAACGAAAAGGGTTCCTTCTTCAGGGCCCCGACTGTAGTGAAAGGTGCCGATGCCGCTGGCCTCCCCACATCGCTTGCCTTCGAGGGGCCTCCCGGGGCGCCCGATCGGCATCACAGCTGGATTCGCCCCGAAGCTCTGGCGCCAGAACGCGCCCCCTGGAGAGGCCCGCGGAGTACCGGTGGCGGTTTCTTGTGGCCCCCCTCCCAAAACCTGTACAAGCGTCCGAAGGCTCGGGCGGAGTTCTCGGATCGGCGCTGGACCCCCTCTGCCTGGCGCGCAGAGCGCGCCAGTGGCGGCGCAAGAGGCGCCGCCACAGAGGTCCAACGCAGATCCAAGATATCCGCGGGAACCTTCGACAATTTATGTGTACAGTGGAAGCCAGTCCACCAGAAACCTTCCACAAGAAGCCCAACCCTGAGACCCCAGCACGTCCATTGATTTTCTGTCTTGGGGACGTCACGCTTTCCACAGCAAGCAATCGAAACCAAGGAAAGCCAGTGCACCCTGGAGGCAAGCAGGGTGCTTCTTGGCATGGGCCCCCCACTGTGGGCAGTTTTTTTGTCTTGTTTGCGCCCGACCGAACTTCAAACACCGAGGTGTTCGTCGGCGCGTCGTGCCTCCGCCTTCATGCCCCCCTCGCCGCCACCGCCAGGCGCAGCTGGAACCGCTGGCATGTCTTTTTGAGGCCTACCACGACACTCTCGCAGAACAGAAGCATCTTCTGAGCGCAAGCACGCTGCTCTGAGAACATGCTGGTGGACCTCCTTAGGCAGGCCCGGACGCTCCGCCACTGCTGCGCCTTCCTGCGTCGCCCTCCGTCTTCCTTCGTCGTCGTCCTTCGTCGTCCTGCGCCGCCTCGCCCAAACTCGTCGTCCTTCGTGGACCGTCGTCCCAGACCCCCGACGCCACGATTTTTCAAGACGTCGACCCCCAGACCCATTCCCCGGGGCCAGTTTTTCATCCCGAGTCGTTTCTGCACGGTCCCGAGGCCCAAGATAGCGACCCGTCCCCGTCGGGACTTTTTCATGACTCCAGGGGGTCCGTGTTCGTCCTCACTCGTGGGCCCTCGTCTTGAGCAGGGACCGACCGTCCTGGCATTCCTGTAGTCCTACCACGAAATGTTCTTAGAACCCAAACGTGTTCTAAGAACAGAAACAATGCTCTTAGAACATAAAACCGATGTGATAAGACAAGACAGACTCCGCCAGAACTGTTCTAAGAACATGCCGTGGAAACCACAAAAAGGCTCAGCGAACATTGCTCGGTAGGGATCCCGAGGCGAGCCAGGACGCTTCGCCACTGCTTGAGCAGAGGCCGAAGATGGCGAACACCCCCCGTCGGGATTTTTTCATGACTCCAGGGGGGTCCGTGCAGTGTTCCTCCTCGTCGTTCGTGGGCCCTCGTCGTCACCGCCCTGTGTCCCGCGCCCCCCCCCCGCGCAGCTCGCCGGTGCTGGCGCGGCGGCTGCGGGCGGCCCTCCTCCTCCTCCTCCTCCTCCTCCTCCTCCTCCTCCTCCTCTTCCCCCTCCTCCTCCCCCTCCGCCTCCTCCTCCTCCTCCTCCTCCTCCTCCTCCTCCTCCTCCCCTCCCCCCTCCCCCCTCCGGTTCCCTCCTCCTCCTCCTCCTCCGCCTCCTCCTCCTCCCTCCTCCTCCTCCTCCTCCTCCTCCTCCTCCTCCTCCTCCTCCTCCTCCGCCTCCCCCCTCCGCCTCCCCCTCCCCTCCCCTCCCCTCCCACCTCCCCCTCCCCCTCCCCCTCCTCCCCCTCCCCCCTCCCCCCCCCCCCCTCCCCCCCTCCTCCTCCCCCTCCTCCTCTCCTTCTCCCCTTCTCCTCCTATCCTCCTCCTCCTCCTCCTCCTCCGCCTCCTCCTCCTCCTCTCTCCCCTCCTCCTCCTCCTCCTCCCCTCTCCTCCTCCTCCTCCTCCCTCCTCCTCCTCCTCCTCCTCCTCCTCCTCCTCCTCCTCCTCCTCCTCCTCCTCCTCCTCCACCTCCCCCCTCCTGTTTCTCCTCCTCCTTCTCATTTTCCTCCCGCGCGGCGGCCGCAGGCGGCGGCCGCAGGCGGCGCCGGCGGCAGGGCGGCGCAGCCGGCAGCCGGCGCCGCTGCCGGCGTGGTCGACGGCCCGGCTACAGTCGGGGCCTTGACCTAAGGAACCCAAAATAAGGAACGAGGCCCCTTTTTTCCGTAAGAAACCTTCGATTTCCGATCGAAAACATAAGGAAAACCTGAGGCAAGCCGCGAAACACGTAAGGAACGCGGAGCCCCTCCTCAACGAAAAGGGTTCCTTCTTCAGGGCCCCGACTGTAGTAGGCACGCGGTCCAGGCCGCCTCGAGGTACAGTCGTACTTGAGTGGAGAGGACGCGCGAGAGGACACAAGACCCTTCCGAAGGCCACATCGCCATCGGAGTGTAAGAAGGCACGCGTCGCGAGGCACAGGACACAAGGGTAGCCTTGAGCTGGCAGGGTCGACCTACCAATCTGGGCCGACGGTATGCTGTTCCCATCGTGCTTGAGGACCACATCCCCGAAACAAGCTCGAGCACCCAGAAAAGCGTCGGAACAGTGCCGAACGAGGATATCGCCTCCCAAAGCCCGACACGTGAGCACCCTCCAGTTCCGGTACTTTCTTGGTGCTCGAAAGTCTTCCTGGTGATCAAGGCTAGAGTAGGTTGGAACATCGTAACCCTCGAGTCGTGAATAGAGGCCTCCCAGATGGGGTCGGTATAGACGGGGTCGGAGGATCGCACCGCATCGCCGATACATCGGCGATGCGTCGGCGATGCATCGGCGATGCTTCGGCGATGCATCGGCGGTGCACCGGCGATGCCTCGCCGACGTGGGCGATGTGTTAGCGACGCCGACGTGAAGCAGATCGGGCTCCACATCGAGCCATATCGGCGATGCATCGGCGATGCGGCGCATTCTCCGACCCTACCTACTCCGACCCCATCTCTGAGGCCCAGAAAGAACAACTCACGACGGGAAATTTCTCGGTACTTTCGGCTTCTGGGGACCTTAGTCACCGGGCCTCGGGACCGTGAACAAAAACGGCGCGGGACAAGAGCCGGTCCCGGGGAACGGGTCGAGATCTCTGGGGGTCGACGTTCGGGGATCTTCTAACCCAGGTCAATCCAGACCCAGGTCAATCAGGCCTTGCAAAATCCTGCAAGATCCTGCACCCAAACCCGGGTCAATGCGAAAAATCCTGCTGGATCCTGCGCCCAAACCCGGGTCAATGCGACCCTGGCCCTGCAGGATCCTGCAAGATCGGGCGCTCTGGCTGAGCCCCGTTTGCATTGACCCCCGTCTCAAGGCTCCCGAGACGTTGTGCAAAGACATGACGCCGGGGGTCTTGGGGAGGCGCTCCCGCCACCCTGTCGCTCGTCCGCCACGGCCCCGTCCCCGCCTCGCCTCAAGAAAGAGAGAGGCAGGAGTAGTACGGGCGTGAACACTTTTCGGCACTCCTCGCGCCGACTTCTTGGAGCGGGGCTGGGCCCCAGGACCGTCAAAAACGACACAGGACGTCCCGGGGAAAAGGTCGGGACTTCCAGGGACGCCGTCCGGAAAAAATCAGGACTTCGCATGTCTGGGGACGCCCCCAGCCCTGGCGCGCCGGGTGCGCCGGGCGGGCCCGGTGCAGACCCCAGGAGTCCGCGCGGGCCTCCGTCGCCTCTTCTTCTCCGACTCTCGGCGCAGCCTCGCTCGGAGTGAGCAGGACGGCGCCAGCGTCGTCGGCGGCGCCGCAGACATGCCGGCGTCAGCGTCGTTGGCGGTTAACGTAAGAGGAGGAGGAGGAGGAGGAGGAGGAGGAGGAGGAGGAGGAGGAGGAGGAGGAGGAGGAGGAGGAGGGGAGGAGGAGGGGGGAGGGGGAGGGGGAGGGGAGGGGAGGAGGAGGGGGAGGAGGAGGAGGAGGAGGAGAAGGCGGCGTCGACGCCACGGAACGTGCCTGGGGTTGCTCTGGAAGCTCTCGCCGCCACGGGCGGACGCGGCTCGAACAGCAGGCCGGGACGGACCCCCGGGAAGGGCTTGGCTTGCTGCGAACTCTGGGGCATGAAGTAGGCGGGCCCTGCTGCCGCCGCAGGTGTCCGCCTGCGCGCGTGGACACCCGAAAAAAGGTGAGCTGGAGACGGTGGAGATCTCGTCGAAGCGGACCCTGCTGGGGCCCGAAATGTTGGCCGCGGCTGAAGCAACCGCGGGACGGTGGAGGCCCCGCGGAAGCCTCCTCCTCCTCCTGCTCCTCCTTCTCCTCCTCCCCCTCCTCCTTCTATTCAAAATAATTTCCCTTTCCCTTTCCCTTTCCCTCCTCCTCCTCCTCCTCCTCCTCCTCCTCCTCCTCCTCCATCTCCTGGCTAGAGGGAGAGTTGCCAGGGTCAGACATGGCGGAAGGGCTGGCACCAGCAGCGTTTCTGAGGCCCCACCCCCAGTGCCTCGCCTCCTCCCTGCTCTCCCTTCCGCAGTCACCCAACGTGAATGCTGCTCGCCGCTCTCCCCCAAAGACGTGCTTAGAGAGTAGTGCCGCTCCCTCCGCATATTCTTGGATGCGCACAAGATGGCGCCGAGTTGTTTTTTTCTCTTGCTATTCCAATCCGAACGTTTTTCGGTCCCTCCAAAAAATGTCGCTCCCGCTGCCGCGTTGGCCTCATTGTGGGATCGGCGCTCTGCTTCCCCTGTTCCCCGTCGTGGTCGCCCCCTTCAGGTTCCCACTCCCGTCTTCCCCTCGTCCTCCTGCTCCTCGCGCTCCTCCTGCTCCTGCTGCTGCAGTTTCTCCTCCTCCTCCTCGTCCTCCGCCTTCCTCGTGTTTTTCCTCTTCCTGCTCATCCGCCACCTCCTCCTCTAGCGCAGTTGCACAGCTCCCCTTTTCCAGATTGCGCGCGGCACGACAGAGGGTCCTTTTTTGGGGTGTTCCCACCCGTTGGCGGAGCGAGAGAAACGCCAGCGCGATGGGACGGGATGGGAGGGAGCGGGTACTGAGGATCTCAGATGTGGCGAGAGCGCGCCTGGCGTCCTCCTCCTCTCCCTTCTCCCACCCCCCCTCTCCTCCTCCCTCCTCCCCCTTCCTCCCTCGTCCCCTCCGTGGCCCCTGCTTCTGGGAGGAGGCGGAGGGGGGCAGAGAGCGCGCAGCAAGCGCCACCGCGCCACCGTGCCAAGCCAGGGCGGTCCCGGGCCCGGGCACGGCGCGTGCGCCCCGCTGGTCGGAGCCGGGAGGGTGCGGACACCATCCTGGGGCCCATGGTGGGGCCTGGCCAGGCACGGCCCCGACAGACCTCCGACCAGAGGACTTCTCAGTGCGTGGCCCGTGCTGGTCCCGACCCCCCCCATCCCCGTGGCGAACGCCCGTCGGCCCTGCTGCATCTCGGATGGCTCCCGAGGCCCGAGAGCAGGCCCGGGAGGCCGACATCATCGCCGCATCTCCGCGCCCTCGCGGTCTGGACTCCGGGGCGCGATCCCGCAGGCGCGCGGTCTCGAGGATCAGTCCCGCGCGGGGCATCCGGAGCGGCATCCGCGAACGCAAGAGAACGTGAGCGCGGGGTCGCGGCCAAGGGGCCCGGCCCGCGAGGCCGCGGGTGCAGACACGCTTCGGGAGGGGACAACACACACACACACAGACACAACGAATCGCCGACTCCCAGGAAAATATGGGGAAGTATGGGAAGTGGGGGCAGGAGACGAAAACCCAGAACATGCAGGGCAATATGGGGAATCCTGGGATGTGTGTCATTCATTTGTGTCCCAGGGGCCCTGGAAGGTTTTCGCCGACGAGATCGACGGAATCATGCTGCGTTGTGCTGCATCTCGAGGGGACCTCGCCTGTCCCACCGCGCCCGCCATGCGTGTCGCATCGGTCTCGACTCCGCATCGAGCGCGACGAATGCGTGTTCTGAGTCCGTGTCGGAATCCACGTCGAATCCGCGTCGAAACCACGTCGGAGTACAAGGCACGATTGCCGTCTACAGGGCAGGAGCTGCGCCCCCCCCCCGAGGAGCCAAAGAACACCTTGAAAGGGAGGAGAAGCCCTCCGCCCCAAGAGGGCCCCCCGAGACCGCCCGCCCGAGGAACTCCCAAGAGGCCCGGAGGGGCCCGCAAGAGGCCCCCAGAAAGCCCCCAGAGAGGCCTGAATTAGAAGGTTTCCACCCGTGGAGTGTCTTCCCTCCTCTGGGGGTCGGCGGCACGGCGTCAGCCTTTTGACTGGCACGGCGGAAGGGGAAGAGGACCGGGTGATCCGACGCGGCGACAGCAGTGCAGCGTCGTGGCAAATCACGCCCGGACCCCCCGACGTTTCTGCGGCATTTTTCGAGCCCGATGGAGCTGCGAGGGTCCCGGGCTTGAGCAGGGACCGACCGTCCCGTTATTCCTATAGGCCTGCCACGACATGCTCTTAGAACCCAACAGCGTGTTTAATAACAAAAACAATGTTCTTAGGAACCTCTGCCCCGCGCGTTCCGGGGCCTCCCGGGGCGCCCAGGCCGCTCCTCGGAAACGCGCACCACGTACCCCAGGTCCCTGCCGGGAGCACCGCCACCGGCACCGAGGTCTGGTCCTCGCGACCGATGCGGGGGCTGCGCTGGGCAGGGAGCCAGGGAAGGGAGGACGTCCTTCCTCCTCCTCTTCCTCCTCCTCCTCCTCCTCCTCTTCCTCCTCCTCCTCCTCCTCCTCCTCCTCCTCCTCATCCCTCGTCCTCGTCCTCGTCCTCACTCCTCCTCCTCCTCCTCCTCCTCCTCCTACTCCTCCTCCTCCTCCTCCTCCTCCTCCTCCTCCTCCTCCTCCTCCTCCTCCTCCTCCTACTCCTCCCTCGTCCCTCCCTCGTCCTCCTCCCTCCTCCCCTTCTCCCTTCTCTCTCCCCCCTCCTCCCCCCTCCCTCCTCCCCCCTTCCCCTGCTCCTGCTCCTTCCTCCCTCCTCCTCCCATCCTCCCTCCCCCCTTCCCCCTTCCTCCTCCGCCCCTCGTGCTGCCCCCCGCCGGTGCGCGCGCGCGCTGGGAGGCGGGTTGCCCCGTCGCGTGCCGCCGTTGGTCGCCGGCGCCGCGCGCGGGGCCGCTGCCCGCCAAGGGGTGGGATACGAGGTCCTCCCGCTCCCCCTTCCTGGGACGAGGGAGGAGGAGGAGGGGGAGGGGGAGGGGAGGAGGAGAGGAGGAGGAGAGGAGGAGGAGGATGAGGAGGAGGAGGAGGAGGAGGAGGAGAGGAGGGAGGAGGAGGAGGAGGAGGAGGAGGAGGAGGAGGAGGAGGGGGAGGGGAGGAGGAGGGGAGGAGGAGGACGAGGAGGACGAGGGCGAGGGGAGGAGGAGGAGAGGAGGAGGAGGGAGGAGGAGGAGGAGGAGGAGGAGGAGGAGGAGGAGGAGAGGAGGAGGAGGAGAGGAGGAGAAGGAGGAGAGGGAGGAAGGACGTCCTCCCCTGCGCCTCTGCCCCCTCCAGCGCTACAGCCTGCGGTGCCGCAGAAGAGCACCGCAGCACCTCTCAACACGACAGCCATGGCGAGGCGAGAGCCCCCTCCAGTCCTCCTCCTCCTCCCTCCTCCTCCTCCTCCTCCTCTTCTTCCTCATTTTCGTCGTGCTCCTCCCCATGTTCATCGTCGTCCACCTCCTCCTCCTCGTCCCCCTCCGCCGCCTGCTACTCCCTCCTGCCTCCTGATCCTGCTCCTCGCCCCTCTTCTCTTCGTCCCCTTCCTTACCCTGTTCCCCTTCCTCCCTCCCCCCCCGTCGCCCACGCCGTCGCCGTCATCGCCACCCACGTCCGAGGCAATCGTCGGGGATGCGCCCTCCGTTTCCTCCCTCGCCGCCGTCCTCCTCCTTTTTTGCGTTGATCGGACTTCAATCCACATCGGTTGCAGCGTCATGATGTTGAGAGAAATCTGGCATACAATGACCCGACTCAGGCGTAGAATGTAACACATTTAGCTCGGTGAGTCTAGTGGCGCGGAAAATGGACGCCAGATGAACAGAAAAAGAAACAAGTCAAAGAGGTCACAGAGTATACGCTCTATAAGCTGTGGAGGAGGTGGTGGAGGCGATGACGACCCGCGAGAGTATAAAGTAACAATACCAAAGGAGCACACCGAACGAGGGGGGTGGAAATACGCGCCCCTCCTCCACCTCCTCCTCCCGCGTCCTCCTCTGCACGAAGCCGGGGCCAAGACAACGTCGGACCCCGGCTAAACTCGGGGGTCTCTGAGATCCAGCGGCTCTGGAGGATGCGTCGGGCGCCGCGAGCGCTCCAGAGCAGTCTGGGGCGCTCGGAGGGCCTCCCTTGGGACGCTCTGGAGCGACCTGTCCCCGTCCAGGGGCCCGCCCGACTTTCTTTGGGGAGGAGGGCCCGGCGGGACCACGGCGGCCCTGCCCGGCGTGTGGGCTGCCTTTGGGGCTTCAAATTCTCTCGTCGCCACGGCGGGAGCCGCCCCGAAGGAGGGGGTCGCGGGAGGCCGGCCTGGACCCGGGGAGGGGTCCGGGGGCTGGTGTGGAGCGGAGGGGGACAGGCCGGCGAGCCGCCGTTGTCTCAACTGGCCCTCCTCCGAGTTTTTTTATTGCATGCAGCTGCGTGCATCTACGGGTGTAGATATAGCTGTCTCGCTCGAGATATCTCGACGTACACCCGACTATTATAGGTATACCTGTAGAATTGCACATGCATATACGCACACACATACATATACGTATGCAGGTGCACACAGATGTACATATGCGTACGCACATACACATGCATACACATGCACATATCCACATACACATACCTATGCATACACATATCTAAACGCGGTGTGCAAGTAATATGTATACATATGTACCCAGCTCATATATACATATAGAACGGTGTATCGTCATGTACGTATATACAGTGTTACACGCATCTTCAAATATATACATATATATATATAGATGCGCACATGCACATTCACACCAACACCTCATACCAGACGCACCACGAGCAGGTCGGCTAGGCGGCCGCGCGTGTCACCCGACGTGTTTCGCACCGCTTGTGACTCCGACGCGCAGCTTCCCAGCAGCTGCGCGGATTGGGGGTGGCGGCGATGCATCCAACATGTGGCTCTCGCCCCCGCGCAGCGCGCATAGACTTACCAGGGAGGAGACGACACGGTCGCCCTCTTTCACCTTCTATCCCTCCCTCGGAGGATGGCCACATGAGACAACGACAACTCGTCCGCCCGGAACCAATCCAAGGACCCATCCTGGTCCGAAATCGGTCCCTGGAGATCTCGCGGGGTCCAACCTGGCCCGTTGTCCGACGCGGACCCGGCTGTGGCGACGAGAGGCCCCCCCCCCCCCCCCCCGGGAGACCCCAACAGAGGCAGAAGAACGGAAGGCCTGGCCGCCGCTGTCTGGGCTGGCCCTCCTCCGATTCGCCTCCCCCTCCCCCTGCTGCTGCTCCTCCTCCTCCCGGCTCCTCCTCTCCTGCCCTCCCCCCCTGGCCGGGGCGCTCCTCCCATCTGGCGGCGTCCAGCAGCACCACCCGGCCCGCGCGGGGCGGCCCCGCCTCTCCAAAGAAGTCGCCTCGGGGGCCGCCCGCCCGCCCGCGCTCCCGCGCGCGCCGCGCGTGGGCAGGACGGGGGGGGGGCAGGGGCGGAGGTGAAAAGACAGACGGGGAGCGGGGCTTGTGGGTCATGGAGAGACTGAGGCCGCTTGGCCGCCACAGTGCCGAAGAGGGCTTTTGAACTGTCGGATGCGCTCCGACAGGTCATCTGGAATGGTGAGCCCCCTTCGGCTGTTCTGATGCCATCCTCGTCGATGCATCATGCTGACTAATCCATTTCTGAACCGAGAGGGAGCCTCCAGGTTCGGGACATGCGATAGTCACTACGACAAAGACATGGTCCGATGGCGCCAATTGTAGGTTAGGGTCCCAACCGTGCTAGCCGACGCAACCAAACTCATCGACGATTCCCGCATGGAGAGATGTGCAGACTCTGTCAAGCCGAATGCGCCTTCGAATCTCGCCCCCGACTGTGTCCCTGTGCGCGAAGTCAGGCTGAACAACTTGAAGCCGGGAGCCGCAGCGTTCGCGAAAGGCGTTGCCCTGCAACCGATCCCCAAGGCCAAACTCCCCCCCCGCTACAAACCTCCCGGCTTCCATCGGAACAAATTCCAGTCTCCTGGGCCGGCGCCATGCTGTGAGCTGCAGGCGGTTTGCATATCCAGGATCTTCCTCAGATGCAGCTGATACAAGCTATAATGTAATCACATGTTAGGCATGTGTACAATCACACTTTTGAGATCCGCATCCGGCCCCTTGCAACGCAGCAGGAGGAGCCACCCTTCTACCACCTCGAAAAAAACCGTATGCGGGAACAAAGCAGCAAGAGCATCAAAGACAAATGTCACGACTCCACCAACTGCTTCTGTCTCCATGAAGTGCCATAGTATACCTGTGCGCATCTCGTCAGCTTGCATGGCATACATGGGCTTCCTGGAAATGTGCGATCTGATAACTCTCGCGCACAACCTCTTTGCCTGCTGAAACCTTGACTTCGCCCTGAGAGAAGGGGGTGACATGGGCGCAGCGAAAGGGCGAGTGGTCCACGCGCAGAGAGCGCGAGCGGAGACGGCGGACGATATACCCCACCAGGAACCCCGGCCAGCGGATGTGAAACTTGTATGGCGCGCGTCAAATGAACGCTACCGGGCGCTACTCTCTGGAGACAGGGGCCCAGTTGAGCTCGCAGACGCCGCAGACTCAACATGCTCCCGCCAAACACCCTTCCTTCAAGACAGCTGGTGTACTTGCCTGAGGGGGCGGATCTCCGAGAAGCGGACGTGCAAGCGAAGCGCGCGTGCTTCCCCCTCGGTCTCGGCCAAACGTACTTTCTCCACCGCCACGTTCGCGCTGCCAGCGGCTGGGCAATTATCGACAATCGACGTCTTCACCGCAGGAACAGGACTGGCACCCAAGGTCGCATGCATTGTCCCCCCGATCCCCGCGGATCCGACGCGCTCCTGCCCGAGGATCTGTGCCACTGCCTGCCTCGCGTTGGCGAGATAGTAGAACATTTCGCGAGACGTCTGAGGGAGGTCACGGCGGACGCGGAGCTCAAGGCCCATTCCGCCCCCCAGGATCAGGAGCTGTAGACGGCCCCCCAGACATGCACTCCGCGCGGACGGAGTGTCCGGGGCATCGATGAGCACCTTCTGACTCCGCAGGTGAAAGCCTGGGATGTCACTGGCCAGCGCAGATTTGTTCACCATTCGTTTGGCAGCCTGGCGGAGTAGCCTAGAGACGCGGACGACGGGATCCCAGGGCCGCCAGGCGAGAAGTGTTGCCATCGCCGCCTAGCTCGACACTACGACACACGCCACCCGAGATGGTCACCGTCACCCGGAGTTGCCTTTCCACCAATTGGAATGGCTGCGCCTCCAACCTGAGCTTCTCTCAAAGCCGCTAGCTCCTCCTTCATCGTACCAATGGCCCTACCACCTCCTTGCTCATCCAACTCTCAGCACCCCACTCTCAGCAATCTCAAGATCCTGACTGGCGCCTGAAGGAAGGTCTCTTCCTGGATAGAACTAATATTCGCGAAACTGTCCCTCGTCAGCTTCGCGGGATCTGCGTGAGCTGCCTGTAAACATTGCAGTTCTTCTCTGCTTGCAACACCTGGCCCTAGATTCCCGAAGTATGCCTGTTGATCTCCGTACTGCCCCGATCCAACTACGGTGTGAGTCTACTCTGCACGGGACAAGCCGAATGAGCTCGGAATGAGCTCTGCCACAGCGGCAATCAGGTTGGTGCAAGTCGGGCAGTCGAAACGGCCCTCGCTACCCTCACTCTCCACATGGGTGGTTGGAACATGAGCATTTCCTGGCCACAGCATGGCCTGGCGCATCGCCTCCATGGCGAGAGGGGGGAAAGGAAACAGGAACTGAGAAGAAACGGCCGCCGAGAACCAGGGGGGGGCGCGACCGCGGCCCGCCCATGGTGCCTGGCCACCAGGTGCCTCGAAAGAGCTTGGGAAGTTAAGGAGCAGGCCCCTTTGAGCCAGAATGGCTACGGAAGGAAAGAGGAGGAGGAGGAGGAGGAGGAGGAGGAGAAGGAGGAGGAGGAGGAGCAGGAGGAGGAGGAGGAGGAGGAGGAGGAGGAGGAGGGGGAGGAAGAAGGAGGGGGGAAGGGATGGAGGGATGGATGGAGGGAGGGAGGGAGGATGAGGATGAGGGGGGGGGACGAAGAGGACGAGGGGGAGGATTTCGGCCTCTGGGGCTCTGATTTCGGCTTCTGGGGCCCGCTTTCGGGCCCCGGGGCCATCTAGCATGGACCTGGAAGGAAAACCTGGCCCAATGGAAGGGTCGGGACCGGCCAAGACGAGAGCGGCCAACCGAGCGCCACAGAAGGACGGAGGCAGGGCGCTCCGATGTTTCACTAACATATATATACATATTTATATATACACATATGCATGTATGCATGTATGCACATCTGTCTGTCTGTCTGTCTGTATGGATGGATGTATGTTTGTATGTATACTTACACATATCGGGCCCAGGGGCGCCGAGCAGGGAGGCGGGCCTGCCAGTCTGAGGCGCCCGCCGAAGCTGGACGGTGTCGGGCGTGCCCTCGGCCCCCCCCAGGCCAGGCCGTCTTCGGCGAGGCCCGCGGCGGCGCGCGAGGCGGGCCCGCTCCTGGAGGGGGGCCGCGCGCACAGGGGAGCCTCCTCGGGGGTGGGCGACCAGTTCGGTGTAGTCTGCAGCGCCTGTCGGCGCTGGTCTGGGCCCGCCCCACGAGCCACGCGCCCGCGCGGTGGCGGCCGCTTTCGGAGGGAGGGCTCGGTCGTCGGCGCGAAGCGAGGCCCGCGAGGGGTCCAAAGGTTTTTCACAAGCAAAGCCTTCCACCCTTGCTCGGATCCGCTGAGGGGATGCAGGCGGCAACAGTCTGGCCCGGAAAACAGCAGCACTGTCACGGGGCCCATGTTCTCACTTACGTTCGTGTAGGATGTGGCCCATTGGTGGGAGCTCGGGTGTAACGTGGTCACACGTTAGGTCAAAGTCTGTCCCCTGAGGTACCATCAACCACTTCCTCCTGCTGACTGGATGCGCTCCAATGGCCAATCCTGCCAAAGCAAACATACTTGGAAGCCCAGTTGAGAGTGCGGCAGGCAGGGCGAAAGCGGAGAGGAGACGTGAACGGGGCGACCTCGGCAGAGAGTGAACCTGGCCCCGCCGTGCTTTGCAGATGGTTCCGGTGGGCAAGAGCTGCAAACCTGGCCAGCGCGGGGGGGAACGCTAGAGGGTTCCAGCTCAGGGGCGGGAACATCGACCTGGAATCGGCGACACATCGCGGCTCGATGATGGATCTCGGGAACCCTGAAACCAGAAACGTCTTCATCTCTTTGGGGGCGAACCTTTTACTTCCGCCGAGTCTCCGCCAGCCTTCCGCCGCCCTCCGCCGGCGCAGGCGGCCCCGTGCCACTTCCGCCGCCCTTCCGCCGAGGAAGAGAAGGCAGGGCCCTGTCTGGAACGCCTCGGAGGATCGGCGGCGGGCCCTCGATCCCCGGCGAGCCCGCACCCTCCCGGGCGGGGCGGGACGTCGGGCCCCCATTCCGCGGCGAGGGCCGAGGGACGGGTGGTCGCTGCACCCCCCCCGCCTCCCCCGAGCCTGCCCCGGATGGGGGGCGAAGTGGCCGAGCGGAGCGGGGATGGACGACGGAGGATTCGGGTCGGGGCCCAGACGCCCTCGAGTCATGAGGACTGACGGCGGGAAGTTCTTCCCTGCTTTGGGCCTCGGAGGGCCCTTACCAGGCCTCGGGGCCGTGAACAAAACGACTCAGGATGAGACACCGGTCCTGGGGACTGGGTCGAGACCTCTGGGGCTCGACGCCATGACAAAAACCCTGACGTCGGGGGTTTGGGGAGCTCGAGGTGGAGGGAGGGATCTCTGCGGGGGCGCAAAGGCGACCACGGCCACGTCGAGGAAACGTCCCGGGGCATGCCCTGCGCATGCCAACAGCCGTCAGGGCACCGAAGCCAACTCTTAGTGCTGGCTGTGGGCGTCGTGTCGCGCCCCCGGCAGGCCGAGCCGAACACATCCACAACCCTTTGGAGCGTGCCGGTCGAGGTCGGTGGTCTCTTCCCCGCGGGCCCTCCCGACAAATCCGCTCGGCTGTGGCTGTGGCTCCTTGTTGTGCTCGGGATATCCCACCTCGCGTTGGGTCGACGGTCTTTCGACTCGGCTGCGCGCAACGAGTGACCCTTGGCAAGAGCGACGCTCGGTGCGCGGACTACAAGAGCGCAGCGCGGCCAAATCCGGGCGCGCAGGCAGCCGCTGTCGCATCGCGCTCGGCGATCGGGGGGAGGAACCCGAGGAGCCCGCGCTCAAGGTCGCTTCGGCGGAGGGTTACGCTTGCTCGGGCGTTGGCAGAGCTGGGTTTCGTGGGACCCAATTTAGTGATGCGGACGGAGGGACGCCCCCCCCGCCCGCTCCACTGACCGGAACTGCCGCCACCCGAAAAACGCCAGCCTACGGCAGACCTGGTTCAGTGACTCCGGCCACTTCAGGGGCTCCGGGGCCCCACTACTGGTTAACCGGGTCTAAAGCAGGGCTAGGATCGGGATACATCGCTCCAGAGCGTTCCGGCGCCCAATATACATCCTCCAAACCCGCCGACTCTCAGAGATTTCGAGTTATTATCCCGATCCGATTTCGTCCCGATCTTCGCGTCGAGGGCCCCCTCACCTGGGGCCCTGGCTGTACCCGACCTGCGTGCCGCCGCCGGGCCCATCCGGCTCGCGGGCCCGGCGCTCGCGCCTCGCGTGGCCGCCGAGGCCCCCGGCGCCCCTGCCGCCCCGCGAGGCTCTCGCTTGGCTATAGGCCTCTCGCCGCCGGCAAGGGGGGCCCCGCCAGGCTCGGGCCGGCGGCGGCGCTCACCACTTCTCGCGGGGGCTGCTGGCGCCTCCCCAGGCCTCCCACGTTTGCCTTCGAGGGAGCAACGTGGGCGTCTTCTCCTTCGGCGCTTCGACATTGGGGCGGAAGGGGGGGGGGGGGAGGGGGCCTGGCTCCTGTGGAGGGGGGGCTCCGCCTGAAGGACTCCGGCTGTGGCGGAGGGACTCCGCCTGCTTGAAACAGGGGCCAAACACAGGCAAGATCTACTCCACGGGGGGGGGGCGAGGGCCCGCGCCGATCGGCAACACAAGGACTAAGAAACCGATCGCCTGATTGAAGTTGCCTTGTGGCGCTCTCGACCCCTGGGGGCCCTCCCCAGGCACCAAGACCGTTAACTGACAGAACGCCTCGGGATATGGACAGCCGGCCCCGGGCAAACGATCGGGACTTCCAGGAACGCCGTGTGGAACAGTCAGCACATTTCGTATCTCTGGGCTTCGAGAGATTCCCCCCGCCCTTCCAGCTTAGCAGTTCTTGTTCAGCGGCCCGCCGAGGTCCACCCTTGGCCAGTAGCGAGGCAGGGCCCCGGCATAAGGCTAGGTCGGGCGTGCGCGTCCCCCTGCAGGCGACTTTTGAACGACAAATAAAAAAAACAGTCAGAACATGCCCCCCAAATGCTCAAACATACAACAAACATCGTCCCCTGATTATGTGTTGACCGTTTTGGGTATTCCTCCTGTAGAAGGACATGACCGACTTAACCATAAGGCGAGTGGGAGGAGCACGACGAGGCCCTCCCCCCCCCCCGCAGGACAGAGGCGCGCGGCCTGGCCCAGCTCCCGGGGAGAGAGCCCAGACCCCCGACGTCATGGTTTCCTTCAGAACGTCGACCCCCAGAGGTCTCGACCCACATCCCCTGGGACCTGTGCCTCTTCCTGACTGACGGTCCCGAGGCCCCGAGGAGGGCGCCCCTCCAGAGGCTGAAGATAGCGAAACACCTCCCGTCGTGACTTCCCCTGAGATCCGACGCTGCAAACAAAATTGCACCATCGCAAAAAATCCCGCCCGGAGCCCCAGACCGCATCTTTCTATGTCATTTGTCAAGCCGGATCGATATGTGAGGGTCCCTGGGCCCGAAACTCAGCTAATTACCCATGTTGCGAAAAAGTTGTAACGCCATGGTCTCGGGGACGAACAAAACCTCCCGTCGTGACTTTTGTCACGATTCAAGGGGGTTTTGGAGGAGGGGGGCGGGGGCGCGGCGATCCCCCCACGAGAAAGCCGCGGGCGGGCGCAGCCCGGGGGGCGGGCGCAGCCCGGGGGGGGAGGGGAGGAGAGCGGCAGGCCGGGGCCAGCACTGCTCTCGGGAAGGGGTGGGGCGGGGGGGCAGGCGGCTCCCAGGCGAAAGCCGAGTGCGGGCAGGGGGACGGGGGCCGCGGGAGGAGAGACAAGGGCGCGCGGCGCGCCCTCGGAGGGGGGGGGGCGGGAGGGCCAGGCGGCCCCCGAGCGAAAGCCGAGTTCGGGCGGGGGACGGGGGCCGCAGGAGGGGAGACAAGGGCGCGCGGCGCGCTCTCGGAGGCAGGCCGGGACCGGCGGCGCCTGCGTCCCCGACTCGAAGACCAAGCCCGAAATCTTCGGTGGCAAGTCGTGGGAGCCTCCCGTGCCACCTTGTCGGCTCTTGCGAATCGACGCTGGCCGACGCTGAATCGACGCCGATCGGGGCTGGGCCGACGCTAGTCGACGCCCGACGTCGCGGAAATCCGCGGTTTCCCATGGAAGCGGGACCCGTCGCTAATCCACGCCCCCTTGATCCATGGCTGCGATCGCCGGAATGACGTGCCACCGAAGACATCTGCCCTGTGGGCGCCTTCTGGGCCGGTGTGGCCACGGCCAGGGCGGGCATGTCCCCCTGCAGGCTGCTTCCGGACGAGGAACGAAAAATAACCAACACATAACTATCCCGACGTGATCAAACATGGTCGACAAAAGTCGCCCCCACACACTACTCTCTTGGACTATCTTTGGACGCTCCCCCTGTAGAGGGGCAGGCTCGACGTGAGGCCACGGCTCCGCTTCCCGAGCCGAGGGCCCAGCCGCGCCCCCGGGCGAGGCGGCGCCCCTGGGGGTGCCGGCGGAGCCCAGCGGCGCCCCTCTCCCCCCCGACGGCCGAAGGCGCGCGGGAAGGCCGGGCGCGTCCTGGGCGCGCCTCCGTGGCACCACACGGGAGGCCATTCCTCGCGGGGGGCGGACGGGGAAGATTTGGGGGAGGGGGTCGGGGTCGGGGGAGGGGGAGGGAGGGGGAGGGGGAGGAGGAGGGGGAGGGAGGAGGAGGAGGAGGAGGAGGAGGAGGAGGAGGAGGAGGAGGAGGAGGAGGAGGAGGAGGAGAGGAGGAGAGGAGGAGGAGAGTGAGGAGGAGGAGGAGGAGGAGGAGGAGGAGGAGGAGGAGGAGGAGGAGGAGGAGGAGGAGGAGGAGGAGGAGGAGGAGGAGGAGGAGGAGGAGAGGGAGGGGGAGGGGTGAGGGGGAGGGAGGTGAGGAGGAGGAGGAGGAGGAGGAGGAGGAGGAGGGGAGGAGGAGGAGGAGGCGGAGGAGGAGGAGGAGGAGGAGGAGGAGGAGGAGGGAGGAAGATTTCCGCCATCTCGTAGTGTTAAATATAAAAAGAACCCAACACTGCCAGGGCATGTGCAGTGACCGCAAACGGCCTAGGAGGAGAGTGGGACTCAGAGGTGCACGTACACGTCCTACGCCTCCAGGACCGAGCCCCCCCCGAGGGGAGGGGGCACCCGCCAGGCACTCCAGGCACTGGCCAGGGACACAGGACACCCCTCGCCACCAGGCGGGGCACCTGGTGCGAGTCTCGAGGCGGGTGCCCTGGCCTGCTCCCCCCAGTCCCCTTGCCCAAGGGGGACAGAGCAGGACTCCCCATGAGCCTGGCCGAAGCCAGACCCCCTCACCACACCCTGTCGCGACTGGGGAGTCGCCGGGCCAAGACAGTGAATGGGGACCCGAACCGAGGAGGAGGGAGGAGGGAGGAGGAGGAGGAGTGGCATGCTGGCATTGCACCCGCCATGGCGCCATGCCCGTCAGGCGCGCTGACATCCATGGCTCAAGCATCGACGTGCGTCTGCCAGCGCGGCCCCCAGATAATGGGGTCTTGCACTCTCGATGTGCATGCAGTCTCTGCGGCGCAGTATACATGCGGTACGGTGTATGTGCTGCAACTGAAAGCTATGTGGTGCAATCTACCCGGTGCACACTGTGTGATGTATGGTCCTTCGTGCAGCTTACGCCATGCAATTGTTCAAGACAACAGAGAGCTGTCAAATCCACGGCTCGCGCAAACATCCGACACTCCCACCCGCAAAATGTTCGGCAAAACTGATTCGGCCACGATTGCGGATGTCGGTTGACACTGGCTAGCGCGTCCCTGCGTCCGCACTGAGGAGCGCGCTCTCGCGCAGATCGGCCAGCTGGTTTGGCACACATAGTGTGGCAATGACGGCGCTTACCGATGGGAGCTTCCCAACGCTACTCAAACATCGCGCTGGCGAGCGGGCGCTTCAGTCCGGGTCGGTGACTTGGGCAGGCGCGATATCATGGACCGCTCTGGCGCGCGCACGCTCTCGCGCGTAACAGCCAGCTAGTTTGGCACAGATGATGTGGCCGCGATGGCGCGTACCGATGGGGAACGGCCCAGCTCTGCTAAAGGTCGCGTTGGCGCGCGGCCCCTTCAGACCAGATCGGTGACGGTATCACGATGACGTCGACTAGCGCGACCAAATTGACGATGACGACTATGTCGGCGGCGGTGATGATCCCGAGAATGGCGATGATAATGGTGGCGATGGTGATGGTGATGGTGATGATGGTGATGGTGGTGGTTGTGGTGGTGATGATGATGATGCTGATGATGATGATGATGATGATGATGATGATGATGATGATGACGGTGGCAATGGTGGCAATGGTGGCACTGACGATGGTAATGACGATTGCGCGGATGATGATAATGAGAAAATGCGCGCCCGCAGAAATGAAACCATCCGATTATGGTTTCTTTTATACGTATATGTGAGTGCATGTTTCGGTTAAGGGTCATTGCCCAGAAAGGGGAGGAGAGGTTAAGGCCCTGGCTAACAGTAACGCTTCGGCGGGGGGGGACACGTCGGGCTTTGGGGTGCGCTGCGATCGACACAATATGCGCGCGAGCACCAGCGTGTGCGGCCTCTCCTTCACATGCCGGCACTTCTGTGTTTTTCTCTCGTTCTTCCTGCATGGCCTGCCACATTGCCTCTCACCCGCACCCATCGCGACTCATTCTCGTGATCTCGTTAATTTTCCTCCACATCCTCGCCCTTTCTTGCCAGAGGGTGGCGTCATAGGGCCAAACCTTCCCTGGGCCCTGACAACTCGAGAATCATTTCCCGCAACCGTTTGGAGACGGGCATGCCCTGGCCCTGTGCAGGGAGCCAATGGAAGGTGGGCATGATGCCCTGTAGCCCGTGGGGGGTCTGCACAAAAGACTCGCTTACAAATGCCACACTCTGGAAGCCATGGACCTCCCAAGCATGATATCTGTGGGGGGGGGCATCTTTTGCTTCAGCCGGCCGTGCCACATCCAGCCAGCCTTCCGCCGAGGGCGGGCTGTCGGCCCATCGACCCCTGGAATGCGAGGCCCTTTCTGGAACGCCCCCAGCGGCGACCACATCCTCGCTGCACCTCGCCCGGACGGGTCCTTGCCGGGCCCAAGCGGCCCCACATCGCGGTGCCATGCGGCCTGTGGGCAGGCGGCTGCCCCGATGGGTGGTGGGAGGCGTTTTCTGGAACAGGGCAGCCTGTCGGGCAACCTGCGCGCGGTTTTCAGGCGGCCAACGGCGTCGTAGCCGCAGCCTGCAACTGCACGCCATGTGCGGCAGCCCCCCGGCCG